ACCCCCCCAAATGTGGACACATAAAGGCAAGAGAACAAGGTCTTATTTTATGTACAGCATTTGGAGAAGGAAAGAAAGTAATGCTCGAGTGATTGGTTTATCATTTGAATGAGTTTATTTTGTAAGTAGGTTTATGTGATTTTTTAAAGTCCTCTAAATTAGCTCAATGATTCAAGGACTATGATCATTCTCACTTAAATAAAAAAACAAGGGAACTGAGAAGTTGAGACACTTGCCTCAGGTTGCACAGCTGGTCGGGCAAATGCAGGTCTACCTGACCTGAAAGTCCCAATCCTCTCCTACTCTGCCTCTCCAAAGCAGAAAGCTGAAATTTGGCTGTTTTTCAGAGGGGTGGAGATACCCTCTTTCATAGGTATCAGATACCTAACTTCTCACTGATATATCTGTTGGACTAGCCAAACAGCCAAGGAGCCAATGTTAATATCATTCTGAGGAAGCAGAGAACTTGCTCCCCCTTTCAAATCCAGCATAAACGTTGTACGACCAAATAGAGCACAGACACATGTCTGCCAGACCACAGCTTATGGTATAGAATATGCAACTGATTGTTCAGTGTGGAGTCTGGAGAAAGAAAATCTCCTGTGGAAAGTCAGGGCAAATGCAAGAGCCATGAAACATAGTTGTTAAGCACTCAGCCTCTAGAGTCATGGACTTGAGCTTTTACCGTGCCATTCCACTTATTAAGAGACTTGGTCTCTCTGAACTTCAAGGTCCTCACTTGCAAGATGGGACAATGATACTTTGTAGGATCATAGATCAAATGGGGACTGCGGAGTGCCTGAAGTATAAGACATGCTAAAAAATATGAATCATCCTTTATTTTGGTTTTGTTCCCTGCCTTTCCCTGCCTTGGAACTAACAGTCCAAAATTCTATTTTATATAATATATTAACATAAAAAAGAAGGGATACTTAAGCTGTGTGCACAAGCATAGACACCAACATCTTGTTGGGTTGTGTTTGACACATGCCAGGTTACCAGGGGAAAGTTATGGAATATGAAGATGGTGTAGCTTTAAACATGGCTGAGACAAGAGACAAAGATCAAGTGAGGTTTTGTGACTTGTACCCAAGTGATGCAGATGGAATGACAAGTAAGAATGAGAGCAGGTTTTACTGGTATCTCTCTTTTCCTGATGGCTCTTGTGTGGTTTTCTTGGAAGGTTTACCCTGGCATTTTTCAGAAATAGCACAGTTGTTTGGGATGATTATAGGCAATCACCATTTCTCCGACATGGAACTGTGTATAGCTCACTAACCGGCTACTCCCCAGTCCCCAGCCGGGGGCGGGGTGGGGGCGGTGATGCGCAGCTGGTCTCTTGTTGACCACGTATTAGATCTTATGAAATTCAAAGACAACCCACTTTAGGGAACTCATTTAAGAAAAAAAGCGGGTTTTGAGGGTGGAACATGGAATCCATTTCAACAGAAACACAAACCGCATAGCCAGCTCACCTGACAGGCTGTTAACACAGTGTCTCTTAAAATCCATGTTTGAAATCAGTGACTATTAAGAGATTAACAGAGATAATCTGAGGTTAGAGGAGAAGCCCTCCTTGGATATCTTGAAGCTGCAACATCCAATAATGGAGCCACAGCTATGTGTGATCTCTGAGCGCTTGAAATATGGCAGGTTCAAATTGAGATATGTTCTACAATACACGATTTCAAGGACTTAGTACAAAAAAATCATGTATCTCATCAATTTTTTATGTTGATTACACATTGAAATAGTACTTTAGATATAATAGGATAAACAACTACATTCTTAAAATTAATTTTATTGTTTCTTTTTCATTCCTTCTGATGTGGCTACAAGAAATCTTTAAGTCACATATATGGTTCCCATTCTGCTATTCTTGGACAGCACAGCTTTAGAACATCACACAGAATCTTTATCCACAACTCTGGTTAATACTTACCTCCATTTTATACCCTGATTATGATGATCCTAGGCTATTGACAACCAATATGTATCCAGAACTTTGCTACCCTAAGGCTTTGCTCTTGCTGTGAACTCTACGCAAGATGTTTACCCACCCCCACACCCCCAGACTTCATGTCTGCACCTTTTTTAACTCCTTGATCTTTTCTCAAAGGCCCTTTCCCCAGACAGGCTTGCGCTGTCCTCAGGGTGGTCATATCAACCTCTTCTATTCTCTTTATGGCACTCGTTTCTATTGTCTGCCTTCTCAACAAGACTATGATCTCCATGAAAAGATCTACCATGTTCATCTCTCTATTTTCTGCTCTCAGAACAGCACTTAGCTTATAGCTGGTCCCCAGTAAATAGTTCCTGAAGAGCTAAATGCATTAGCCTTAAATCTGAGTGAGATTCTTTAAACTGTGTTTCAACGTGGTGCCCTTCGTTCATCTCATTCTGACTGAGCACCTGCTGTCAGCCTGTCACTATGCATTAGGGGTATGGTGATAGAAGTCCTAGTCTCATTCTCAGGGAGAGTAGGACTTAGTGGGTTCCAAGCATAAACATGTCTTACAAACACAGTTGTCCTATTACTGCCATGAGCCTTTTGTTGCATGTTACTAGGTATACTACTAAGGAAATAATGCAACAGAGGTCAAAAAAACAGGATAACCTCAAAGCTCAGACTCCATGTTTACCCACAGTGGGGGAAGGTTGTTGAAAAGGCGGCTCCCTTGTGCTCTTCTGTTTTCAAAAGCCAGATTAACCATCTTAAAGAACTATGATTATGGGCAGAAACCAGGCATGTATTTCTAGCTGTGGAAGACTCTAAATGAGAAGATATTTTGAGCTCAAAGGATACATGTTTTCAGAGGTTTTTAAGGGAAAACTGACCTTTTAATACATCCTCAAATTACAAAAGCAAGCTGTAGACCACTGTGTGGAGCAGATGCTTGTTTGTGTGTGTGTGTGTGTGTGTGTATATATATATATCCTATAAATGTGTGTGGGAGAGATAAATGCATTCCAAATGGTTAACTTTGGCTACCTCATGGTTGTGGAGGATAGAATGATATGACACTATAAATATTTTCTTAACATACTTCCATATTATTTTATTTGTTACAATGAACATGGATAAATTCTGTACTTTCAAAAATGAATAAAGCAGTTTTTAGAAAGAAAATTTTAAAAGAAACACTAAAAGCATCCCTGTATTTGATAGAGATACATTTCACATCTTGAATTTTTTTCATCTCAGTTCTGGCCTCAACAAAGGCCAACAACCAGGTTGGATTTCAAAAAAATAGAAAGTACAGACTGAGCTCACTTCTGGAGAATTTTATGATGTCATGGCTCTCTTACCATAGTTAGGACTGCATTAACCTCTTTAATTGGGATGGTACTCTTTATTGAGAGCACCTGTTATAAGTCCATTAATTTGTTTACATATGCTCATTTTATTCTCGAAATAATCTTTCAAAGGTAGGCATTAAATATATCCTCACTTAGCGGATATAAAAATTAAAGTTCAGGGAGGTGAGATGACTTGCCCAAGGTCATAGAGGTTAGTTAGAGGTTGAGCCAGTTTGCAGAGGAGAACTACAAAAACAACTAGAAAACAAGTAACAAGATGGCAATCAATAAATACACACCTATCAGTAATTGCTTAAACGTAAATAGTCTAAACGCTCCAATCAAAAGACATAGGGGGACAGAATGGATGAAAAAAAAACATACATGCACACAAGACTCATCTACATGCTGCCTGCAAGAGACTCACTGCAGACCCAAAGATACAGATTGAAAGTGAAGAGATAAAAAAAGATATTCTATGCAAATGTACACACACACACACACACACAAATCCAGAGTAGCAATACTTCTGCCAAAATGAGACTTTAAAACAAAAATGGTTACAAAAGACAAAGAAGGACACTACATAATGATAAAGGGACAATACAACAAGAGGTTATAACAATTGTAAATATCTATGCAACCAACATTGGAGGACCTAAATACATAAAGCAGAAATTAACAGACATAAAGGGAGAGATTGATAGTTAATAATAATAGTAGGTGACTTGAACACCTCACTTATATCAGTGGACAGACCATCCAGACAGAAAATCAATAAGGAAACAGAACCCAACTTTGAACCTTGCCCTTTTCAACCTTTTGTCCAATTCACCACCATTTGCTACCTCTTTCTAAAAGATAAGGTGCAATACAGTATTTTGCATCTGGTTCCACAGCTGAATTCAGTTCTATTCTCAGTGGAAGCCTAATTGTAGGGACTTCTGAAAGGTTTCTGTTCCACAAAATCTTTTCACTAACTAGCCTCGGAGACTGATAGTTAATAGTAGAATCTATCCCATTAGGTGACATCCCCTAGGATCCACTCTCCAATTACAAGTACCCTTAGAATTGAGTAACATGTAAAATCATTATAAATCATAACTGTCAATGACCATAATGTAAAATAATTACCAAGGAAATAAATCTAACAAATCTCCAAGGAAATGAGACATGAAGCCTATAGGATGATGGGAGTGTGAAGAGATAGTTACAGAGCAGAATCAGCAATGTCCTACAAGGGTGTCATTGTGGGATTATTGAAAAATATAAGGGACCTAGAGGAACCAGATTTCGGAAAGAAAGGTGCCAGTAAAGGTATGTACCACCATCCAGGCCACACAATGGATTGGCACAAAACAGAGAGAACGGGCACATGAGTTGGTTTCCATACTGTTCTCCGCACCCCAGCTACAATGCTGCTGTTTGTCAAAAGGTCACTGAGATACAAGATGCCATGAGTAAATGATGTAAAAATCAATCATCCTATCAAGAGACAAATCACAGGGTATGTTCTTCCAGGAATCTGCTCAGAGTGTCTCTCTGAGGTACAGAAGGCCAAGAAGTAGCTTCTGGATACACAAGGGGGTTAGTTTACAAAACTATTGGATCCTATCTAGTAGTGGATTTCTATAAGCAGCCTGGACAGAAATACTGTCTGCTCTATTCTTTAAATAGAATATGCTTTTTTTCCCCCACAGAAAAAGCGCACATTGAAGGGCTCCATTGAACTCTCCCGAATCAAATGTGTCGAGATTGTGAAAAGTGACATTAGTATCCCATGCCACTATAAATATCCATTTCAGGTAAGTCCACTATGCCTGCGGGAACTAGTCCCCCATTCCTTGGACAATGGTTGAAATCCTGTCATTGTAAAAGAAGGTGGGACACCGATGACTCTGACCTATACTTAGATCTTCTACTCAGTCCAGAAGAAAGCTGCTGTGTTCTTTCTTTCTTTCTTTCATTTATTCATTCTATTCAACAAAGCCTAAAACCTTGAAAAAGTTTTCATTCCTCTTTTCTTCTTCTCTCATATCTTCCCTACCTCAACAAAAATCCGAATTCTCTGCTCCTAGGCGAGGGAAAATAAACTATCAATGGCCCAAACCTAATATTCTTTAAGTACAATTTACTCATGTTTTGAGGCTACTGTTGATTATAAATTGTTTGGAGGTTCTGGGACAAAAAGACTTGAATTTTATAATATCAGAACTATCTAGAGTTGTGCTGTGCAATACAGTAGCCACTAGCTACATGTGGATGTTTAATATTTAAATTAAGCAATATTAAAAATTCCTGAATCACACTAAGCCATACTGAGGGAATAAACACTTCACATGTTCAATAGTTATGTGTTGGACAGAACAGATTATAAAACATTTCCACCTTTACAGAAAGTCCTACTGGACAGAGCTGGTGGAGATTATCATTAGTCTTTATGTTATGATATCATCTAAAACTTGTCATCACTCTCTGCATCTGTAACTCCAAAGCAGCAGATATCTCCTTGCACATTCTAGGGTACTGTTCCTCTTTGCCAATTTGAGAGGTAAATATTCCATTTTTAATGTGACATAGAAAAGGATTATTTTCTACCAGAAAGTTGACCTCCATGAGTTGAAATTTTTAGTAATAAAAGTAAAATGAATAGCATATATTTTCCTGTCAGTAAAATCCTAATTAATGGGACGCCTGGGTGGCTCAGTCGGTTAAGCTGCTGCATTCAGCTCAGGTCATGATCCCAGAGTCCTGGGATCGAGTCCCGCATCAGTCTCCTTGTCCAGCAGGGAGACTGCTTTCTCTCTCTGTCTCTGCCTGCGACTGCCTGCTTGTGCTCTCTCTCTGACAATAAATAAATAAAAAATCTTAAAAAAAAATCCTAATTAATAATGAATGTGAGAGGGGCCCCTGGGTGGCTCAGTCAGTTAAATGTCTGCCTTCGGCTCAGGTCATGATCCCAGGGTCCTAGGATGAAGCCCCACATTGGGCTCCCCTTGCTCAATGAGGAGTCTGCTTGTCCCTCTCCCTCTGCCCCCCCCACTCATTCTTGCTCTCTAATTCTCTCTGTCTCTCTCAAATAAATAAATAAAATCTTTAAAAAATGAGTACATTAAAGGGGAACCTGGATGGCTCAGTTGGTTAAGTGTTCCACTCTTGATCTCAGCTCAGGTTATAAGTTCAAGCCCTGTGCTGGGTTCAACACTGGGCATGGAGCCTACTTAAAGAAAAAAAAAAAAAAGTACATGAAAAAAAATGGTAAAATTCAAAGATCTGTTCTTTAGTTAGTAGTGTTAGACCAATGTTTCCTCGTTTTGAAACTGTACTATGGTTATGTAATAAGATGTTATCATTAAGGAGAGGTTGGTGAAAAGAACACAGGAACTCTGTACTATTTATGGAACCACTGGGGTGTCTTACATTATTTCAAAATACAAAGTTTTTAAAATCTCGATTATACATTTTTCATCTACTTTTTTACTCTTTCATATGCCAGAAAGGTTTTTTTTTTATCACTTAAAAGTTAATATGAGAAATAAATGTTCTGTCACATGGAGACATTTTGTCCTGCTGTTTTAATTTAGCAATGGCTTACTAGTAACATGGAATCTGAGACAAGTAGTCTGAGATGTGGAAACTCACCCTGTGTCGGCACAGCATTCAAATATCTGGATAAAAAGGACATCAGTCTCCTAATCACCTGGTAGTTTGCCTTTAAGTGACAGACACCTGAGGCCCAGTCCTGGCCCCGTATGCTAGGTGGGCCTACTGCCAGTCATTCATCTCTGAGTGCACCACTCACCTTGGACTCTGCCTATATTCTCAGGTTGTGCATGACAACTACCTTCTGTATGTGTTTGCTCCAGACCGTGAGAGCCGGCAGCGCTGGGTTCTGGCCCTTAAAGAAGGTAATTTACTCTCCTGTGCCAATGGCTCCAAGATCCCTTGATGCTCTAGCAGGCTTGGGTTCCGCAGTTAGACAAAGGGCAGTGGATGGTCAAATATTTCTCGCTTTTGGTATTGGTATTGCATTCCAACTTTTCACCCCAGGCCCAAGAGGCAACGATCAGTACAGTGTAGGGTCAGCCAAATCTAGCCTACCACCTCTTTTCATAAGGCTCTGTGCTAAGGATGGTTTTCATATTTTTAAATGGCCCCATTTTAAAGGAATAGACGAGTACCTCCATCTCATATCGATTTTGCCTGCTGGTGAACAAAACCTAAAATATTTACTACCTGGCCATTGCAGAGTTTGCCCACTCCTGGTCTAGTATGAAGAATAAGAGGACGGAGCCTTGAGTTAGGTGACCTGAGTTCGAATCCCGGCTCTGCTACTTACTAGACACGTGTGCGTGGGCAACGTCCTCATTGGCTCTGTCTTCAGTCTCCCCATCTATAAAAAAGGAAAGAAGGAGGGAGTGATAATAATAGTTCCTGCCCCTGGAACTGCTATGGGTAAAGCCTCTGGAATTATCCTGGCCCAGAGTCGACACCCAATAAATTTTAGCTAGCTTTCAAAGTTTTCAGATCAGCACGAAGGATATTCCTTAAGGTTCGCCTTCCTCATGGCATCATTAGAACCAGCACAGGGCTTGGGTACACGTGAGAGGTGTGGCCAGACCACTAAGGTGAAAATCCCCAGTCTGTCAGTTATTAGTATGTGACCTGGGGCAAATTCCTCGACCTTCCAGCGTCTCCATTTTCTCAGCTATAAATTCTGACTAGTAACAATTGATCACACGGTTATTGTGAGAATTAAATGTGTTAAGATTTGTCAGACACTTAGAACAATACCCAAAGAAAGCGTTCAATCAGTAGCACTGTTATTTCACCTGGAGCCCTGGGTTTATAGGAGAACTGCGTTCAGATATTTGCCTGTCTCTAAGTACCTATAAGGACAAAAAGTAAGCAAGCCATTGGAATCTTGGGAGCCATGAAACCTCTATCAGAAAAATGAGACTAAAAATATAGTTATCCTTTTCCAAGGTCATTGTCTCAAATGGGGTATGAACAGGCCAGGACTGGGTAAGCAGAAAATGCTTTCAAGTCAACGGGCTCAGTAGAAACATTAAAATGGAAAGTTATCAGAAGGGCCCTAACTATGTCCACTGGCTATTCTCCCACTGTGTAGAGCTTTACTCACAGGATGTTAGAGCTGGAAAGAACATTTGAGATGGCCTGTCTACATCTCCATTTCTCATACTTTTCTTCAGCAGGAGAACCTCTTCTTTTTCCCCCTACCAAAATCTCACTTTTAAGCTGCAAATATAGAATGGATAAAGCAAAACTCCTGTGGTTGAAGGTGGGAGAGATGAAGGGGCGGAAATCCCTCCCACTCAGACTTCCCAGTGGCCCTTGGACAGCTTTGTTGGGCCCACTGGTCCAGTCTAATACTCTCATTGCATAGAGGGGACGCTGAGCTGGATGAGGGTGTTGTCCAACCTGGGACATACAATTAACACAAGGCCAGACAAGACCCAGACCCAATAATGCCTAAATCCAACATGTACTGTTCACTCCAGCTTATAGCGGGGTCCAATCTCGGGGAGTCTCGTTGGTAGCCCTTGATAGACGGACCTGGAAATAACTCTTCTACTGGTGCCAATCTCTTTCAGAAACAAGGAATAATAACAGTTTGGTACCCATGTATCATCCGAATTTCTGGATGGACGGGAGGTGGAGGTGCTGTGCTCAGCTGGAGAAGCTCGCAGTGGGCTGTGCCCAGTATGATCCAACCAAGAATGGTAAGAGACTGGGAATTCCCTTTTCTTCTTGGAAAAATGACTGACCTCTCTAGTCTTAGGAGGTAAAAGCTCTCAGCTTCCCATCATCAGGGGCATCAGGGGTTGAATACAAAATTTTGCATTTTCAGAACTTTCAGAGGGAAATTATCTGCCTCTACCAGTAGTCTGTTGATGTTTCTCATCTCAAACCTTATGTCTTTGTGGTTCCTTGTTACTAAAAGTGTCATCCTTGGATCTGCCGTGTCAACATCACCTGCGACCCAGTTAGAAATGTAAATTCTCTGGCCCCATTCCAGGTCTGCTGCTAGATCAAAATTTATATTTTAACAAATTTTCTGGAGATTTGTGAGCATGGTAAACTTTGGAAAACATGACCATAACCCTCAAGTTAGAAAATGTGATCGGCGTGGTCGACTTAAATCTTAAGTTGTAGAGACAGACTTAGAGGTTCATAACATCATTTATTTATTACAGTGGTGTCACATCACACATGTGTTTAATTCCACCAGCTCAACTTTATAGTCTTGGAGGGAAAGAAAGCAAAACCAAGAACTACTAATTGTACGCTGTGGCTTCTCTCTGCCTCCCCTTCAAACTTGCTGTCGATCTCTATAATAATCTCGGAGAAAAGGAGGCCACAGCCCAAATGCAAAATGAAAACAAAAGACATTGTTTCTGGTCTTTGGAGGTCAAAAGCCCTGGAATGTGGGAGTGGGGTGCTACCCATTCTACCCTTCTGTGATGGCTCTGGGACCAGAACCTTCAATGAAGTGCAACTTCACTTACATGCACTTTGATACATGGTATGCTTCCATTCCCCACAGTCATCTGGGGGAGATGGTGTGAGGTCACAGAAGCTGAAGACCTTGAGCAGTTGGGTATGTTCAAGGTCACACAGTGAGGAAGTGCTCTGCAAAGCCATTGTTGAATAGGAATGATGGATAGTGTGAATTGTTTTGCTTCCTTTCCCCTCTCCTCTCAACCTCCCTTACTCTAGCCACCTTGTCTCATCTGTCAGCTTCTCTTTTGCAGGAAAACCAAATACCTCACATTGACAGCCCAAGGCGGATGTGCAAAATGTAACACATGGCTGGGTTTTCCGTGGCTTCCTGAGTCACAGCCCATTTTAGTACCACGTTAACAACCACCACTTCTCAACCTCAACCTTGGGAGAGAAAGTTTAAGGTTATCAGTCCCCTGGCCCAGAAGAACAATATATACCTGGTTTTAGAAGCGAATGATCTTCTACATTACACTATGGACCATATTCACAAAGGCTAGTATTTCATAAAAAAGAAACAGAAGGTTTTATATGGATGAAATCCACCATATTAACAAGATGGCATGGGATTTCCCCAATGTGAGAAAACCCTTTTCAAAGCTAGAGGTCTAGTCTCCAAATTCTTGCCAACACCTTTGCTGTGGGCCCTTGGACCTAGGGCCCTGATCTCTCCAGTGTTAGGGGAACTTTTAGGTGTCCTACAATGAAACAATCTCCCAAGCCCCTTTCCAGTTCCAGAATCCCTTGAGTCTATGTTTCCATTTTGCAGTTTTCACTGTGCATGTTGCAGCTGATCCCTTCAGGGCACATAGTACTTCCCTGTGCAGAGTGCTAGACACACGACTAAGGGTGATGAGCGTCTGAATGACTCACCATCATGACACTTGGAGACGGCTGCTCATGCTGAACTGCTCACCCCATAAACCCAGGGCCTAATTACAGTCACTCTCTGAGGGGTCCTACATTCATGTTTGCAAAAATGAGCTTGTGGAAAGCTTTTAGCACAACCACTGGCACTTACTGAGCTCTCAACAAATGGTATTTGTGCCTGCTATTCTTTCTTATTTGTGTACAGAAGAATCTGAAGCTGAGATATAGCAGTGTGTGTGTGTATGTCTGGAAAGCAGCAGAGGTTGAGCAAAAATGGACCCTGCTCTACCCAACCGACAGCAACACTCATTTCTGCAAGCAGAATTGGCTCTGATGTCATACAATCCAGTATCACCCAGTGGGAGAAGAAAGGAAGGAAGAGTAAGGCTAGAGGAAGAGCTATGCATCGCAGAATATTCAGGGTTGGGAGGGGCCCAAGGCCACACAGCTCATTCCCAGCAGAGCTGCGGTGAGAACCCCAGTCTCCTGGTGCTCTGGGTTGCGTGCAGAATAAGAACCGTGCTTCCAGTTATGTTTGTTTGCTTCTTCTCTGTTAATCACAAACCCAAGTCAATACCCCACCCTGCCCTTTCTTAAGGAGTTAGCACATGGGCTGGGTTCCCATGTCACTGTGTGGGTATCCTTTTACCTCATTCCTGAGAAGTGCTGTCCCAGTCAGGCAGAGATCAACCTCATAGGTTAGTCAACCTCATGCAGAGATGAGGAGCTCACCACCTCCTCATGGAGCCTATTCCCATATTATCTCTAATTATTAAATCATGGTTTGAACTGAGCAGAAGCTTATGTCCACACCGACTCCCAGACATTCAACTTTGGTCTACTGATTCCAGGCCTGACCTTTCCAGGGCCTCAGCAGAGAAATACCAGGAGACAGAGAGGAAGAGATGAAAGGAGGGAGAAAAAAGAAGAGAGGAGGAAAGAAGGCCTAGAGTAGAGGTGAAGAGAGGGAGCTGTGGAGACAAACAGATAAACAGAGAGAGAGGTGCTAAGGGTGTTGTTTGGAGGAGGTAGCAGGAACACATGCTCAAGAACAGAAGCATTAAGGTAACTAAAAGTAGTTTCCAGCCCTCGCCCCGAAAAACACCATGACCCCTCACCTCCCCACCTCCTCTCCAAGCCCACGGCTACCTCAGGAAGCCAATGAGTCACTGTTACCCTGAATCACCAATTCCCACTCCAGGGTATGGCAGGTGGTAGGTGTGTTTGTGGAGGTCTCCCAGCCCACAGGGAAGGACATAATCCTAATGTCTCTGAAGGAACTTTTGGATTAGGCTTTAACTGGGAGTACAGAATATTGACTTCTAGAAGTTTCTGGTATCTTCTACAAAATAAAATGGGAAACCAACAGGCTAAAAAAGATAAAACATGGGTGCTACAAGGCCAATTTTTGTTTCTCTGTGTCTCATCATCTTCTTCTGGCCCTTTTCTTCTGTTGTTTACCTAAGGGCCCCTTTTCTCTGAAAAGCCCCCTGACAGCTCGCCTCCGGTTGGGTACATTCAGTTTCATGCTCATTTTCTTTTTCTGTTTTTCTCATTTCAGCTTCAAAGAAGCCTCTTCCTCCTACTCCTGAAGACAACAGGGTAAGTAAGGGCTCCAACTCTGGGCACAGTGGGCGCCCATCACTGCAGCTGCCTGACTGGCATGACCCCTTTGCACTTTCCCCATCTGCCCAGATTTCTCAAATCCTGGGCAAATGCAGCAGGTTGTAGTAATTTCAGTTGAAATGAACCCACTGGGTCTCTTGGACCTGAACGGTCTCATGGGTCTGTTTTCATAAAATGATTGCTCAGCTGCTAAGTCCTCAGTTTACTTTATTCACTAAACAAAAACTTACTGATATCAAACTGTGTATCCAGCCACCTGACCACTTTGAGGTATAATGACAGCTATTTACATAAAATGGTGTACTGGGGCACCTGGGTGGCTTAGATGATTAAGCATCTCTTCAGCTCAGGTTATGAACTCTGAGTCCTGGGACAAGCCCCAGGTTGGGTCCCCTGCTCAGTGGGGTGTCTGTTTGTTCCTCTCCCTCTGTCCACTCATGTTCTCTCTCTCTCTCTATCAAATAAATAAATAAAATCTTTTAAAAAATAAAATTGTGTATTTAGTCCACACCTTACTTTTGATAATACTTTATATTTTTCAAAGTATTTCCATGTTTCTACTATTTCAAAGATATATATATCTTTATAGAAAAAGTATATACATATATATGTATATACTTATACATGTATATACATATATACTTATACATGTATATACATATATATACATATATGTATATATAGGTATATGAGCCTCCTTTCCTCACTGTCTATTCTAGCCACTTCAGAGGGTTATAGTTTTATTCACATTTTAAAGCTTGGGAAATCAAGTCCCAGGAGAGGTTTTGAGATTTTTTTCCCAAGGCCATTCAACAATTTAATAGTCAAGCAAGTAGACAGCCAAGCTCCTGAGAGTTGATCTTTAACTCAAGGGGTGGTTCTCAAAGTGTGGTCCCTAGACCAGCAGTATCAGCATCACCTGGGATCTTTTTAGAAATGCAATATAAATTCTCGGGCCCCAACCCAGATCTACTGTATTCATAATTCTGGAAGAGGGTCCCAGCAATCTGCATTTTCATAGACCTCCAGGTGATTCTGGAGCACAATGAAGTAAGGAAAAACACTCATCTAATATACTGACTTAAAAGATTTAGGTGATACCAAGCCAACTCTGGGGAAGCCAACCTTGGCTTCCAAATGGTTTCCCCCATAGTCCCACCTATATAGGGTAGAGGTAGGATCTAGGCTTAGAGTATTACTATACATTATTATTATTATAAGCAGGTTTCTCACCACATGAATGTCTAACAGGACATTCAAAAGTTGTACAGAATGTGGGATACTGCAGAGATTTTTGCATTCTTTGCTCTTTCCCATTAAATGCTAGCAGCACACCTAAATCTTTGTGACATTCAAAACATCCCCATAATTGTGGAAGATGCTACCTATAGAGAGGTACCACCATGGTTAGAGAACCTTGCTCTTAGCTTTCTTTTCATAGGAATTGATCAATTAGTTGGGCCTATAATGGGATGAATACAATGATGTCATAACCCTCCTTAATCTTCAGGGACCCTTGTATACAACTCCTTCCTCCATTAGCTCTTGGGGTGAAAGCCTCAGCCCCATTGGCTCTTATCTGCAGTACTCCAATACACCACCTCAAGAGCTCCATCAATATCTAGACTTCAAATCCTAATCTGGGTCAGCTGGGACGACATACTACATCAGTAGGACAAGCTTTTTCTTTCTAGATCTCCAGGATTTTTATACCACCAACTGCTTTGATGTGCTCATAGAAATTTTGGCTTCTCAATACCAATTCTCATCCCCACCAGTAATCTCAATCTCTTCCATATTTCCTGTCTCAAAAATCTGCCAACCTGTATCACGTGTGCCCTTCCTGAACTCCCACAATTATTTGCTTTATCATCTCTTCTTCATGTCTTTAACATGTCATCCTTAAAAAGGTACTGAGAAGTAGATACTTAGGCAAGAGAGCCCCTAAGAGGAAGAAGGAAGTTCATGTGCTATCATAGAGAGAGCATTAAGACTAATTCCAGGGCTAAGCTTAGTCATATCCATTTTCCCATCTGGGCCTCTGTTTCCCCATTCTAAACAAAAGGATGGATTGAATGACCTCTCAGAGGCATTCTAGCTCCAATAGTCTATGATCCTATGGATCTGGATAGACCCACAAGTCAAAGCAGAAAAGCGTGTACTGAGTAACTTAGCACTGATGGCATCACGTAAATTAAGAATACGATGCTTCCAGCAGAGAGGTTGCAACATGTGACCAATAGACTTTTATGAAAAGCATGTGGCTGCTTGGAATTCACTGTGGTCAAAATTTAACACACAGAATGAGAGGGGCAAGGAATTCCAGGTACTGGTTGTCTTTGTGTCATATTCAGTGCTACAATCCTAAGTCAAAAGAAAGCCAACTAGAGAAGGCAGATGGTTTCAGTGACTACCCAATGGATTGCAGGAACTGGTGTGTTGATCTTGCATAGAACCAAGAGCAAGTTATAATTTAGGGACTTGTTGACCTTGTTCTGCAGTTTACCTCCTTTCTATGTCATCACTTGCTTTTGTTTTCTACCTCCCCCAGCGATCACTTCAGGAACCTGAAGAAACCATTGTCATTGCTTTGTATGACTACCAAACGAATGATCCACAGGAACTCATGCTACAGCGCAATGAGGAGTACTACCTGCTGGACAGTTCTGAGATTCACTGGTGGAGAGTGCAGGACAGGAATGGGTAAGGATCTTTTTGCTGTCCCAGGACTTGAGGGGAGGTGGCAATAGAGAAAACACTGGAATGTTTTGTTCTGCCTCCATCAGCATGACCACTGCACTGAGTTAGGAGAGGAGGGCAAAGGTAGAAGAAAGAGGAAGGCAGAAGTGGTTGAGGAGACCTTTCCACTTTTCAGAAGTGGTGGAGGCAAGTCACTTGGCTATGCTCTCTCCCCATTAAGCATTCCCAGCTCCCACACCCATCTAAAAATTCCCCAGGGTTTTTTCACTAACATCGACAAAGTAGGAGATTGGCAGCTTGTTCTACAAGGAAGAACTATTGTTCTTGAGTGTTTAGATGAGACCAAAAGCACATCCCATTGTGAATTGTCTATTTGCAGTGAAAAGAAAAGACATGTAGAAATGGTAATGATTAGTGGTTATATTAAGAAGCATCAGGAAGGAAAAAAAAAAAGAAAGAAGCATCAGGAAGAAAATACTGATGACTTAGCTATACTACCAGTCTTAGAACTAGCCATCTACATGATTCAGGGAGAAAGTTGAGTTGTGCTAATACCAATTGCCCACTATGGGGGTTTTGAATGAAAAAATGTATATATTATGAGCCTTCCTCTGATCTGAAATACAACAAAATTAATTTTGTTAATCTTCAGAGTGCTCTGGGATGTATATGACTTAGATACCAGTACTTAGTTTTAAGGCATCAGATTCATGCTGCTTTATAAGGCTTTAGTTTTTCCTTTTAATATATCAGAGGTATTTACCCAAGCCTTGGCATGTTCTCCAGAATATGACTTCAATGATTGCAATAACTCCAACACAGAAGTGTACCATAATTTAGCAATTCCTTTGCTGGGCGCTCAGGTTATTTCCAATATCTTGCAAATATTAATAGCACTGCAATGAACATCCTTATTAATATTACAGGTTAATATAGTTTTAAAGCATGAGGTTATTACTGATTTAAAAATATACAAAAGAAAAACACTCCATTACTGCAATGTTTTGATGGCCTTCATCCATGTTTTATTAAAAAAAAAAAAAAAAAGATCCAACCTCCATTTGTCACCATATCAGTTCCAAAAGTAATCACAACTAACACTTTCTTGTGTATCCCAAACAAAAAAGTTACACATACACAAATGCATCCTTTCTTTGTGTTTGTTTGTTTGTTTTTTTCATTCACACAAAGGTGATTCATTCTGCTCTTCACCTTGCATTTTACCTTTAGTAATACATCTTGGAGATCTTTCCATATCTGCAGATACAAATTTTTTTTTAAATAATTGCATAGTTTTGGAAGGTGTGCTTGTATTATAAATATTTGAATGATCTTAGATGATAGGATGTTTAGTTTCCAAGTTACTTGTTTTCTTTGTTATTTTAAACAAGGGCACAATGAAGATCTTGTATTGCTCATGCTTATGTTTCTGGGCAATTCTTTGAAAAAAAATTTGCAACATATATATTTTTGAAAATATATTTTTCTTTTGAAAAAATGTATATCTCACATTTCTAACTATGGAACTGGTGAATCAGAACCTGTCTCAATTTTGGTAGATGATTCCCTCAGAAAGACTGCCAAATTTACATCCCCACTACCCACCAACAGTGCGTGGGAGTGTCAACACTGGGTATCACTAACCTTTAGGGGAAAAAAAAAAAATCTAATCTGATGAATAAAAAAAGAGGCACACAAATATCTTTAGGGTTAAGGCTTTACTTTTCACATACACCTTTTCGTATACACCAAAACTTCTTTGTCAAAGCACGTTCTCTTTAAGTAACCTTATTCACGCCACTACAGGGGGAGTGGGGGAAGGGTGTAAAATATGGTTCTTTAAAGAACTGTGGTCCAGGAAACAGGGTTGCTGGCTAACTGAGAATAGACCCCAAAGCACTTCACGGGGAATCTCCCTCCCTCTCTAGCTGACTCATGAAGGCAAGTGAGGCCTGTCACATGCCCCTCTCTTTGCCTATTATAAGGTGTCCCATATCAGAAACAGGTTTAAGACTGCCCGGTTCTACAAACACCAGAACTTACTCAGAAATTCACTCCTCCAGTCAACTGACATTAATTTTTTATTTTTTTAATTTGACACAGAGAGAGAGATCACAAGTAGGCAGAGAGGCAGGCAGAGAGAGAGGGGAAAGCAGACTTCCTGCTGAGCTGAGAGCCCAATGTGGGGCTCGATCCCAGGACTCTGAGATCACGACCTAAGCCGAAGGCAGAGGCTTAACCCACTGAGCCACCCAGGTGCCCCTCAACTGACATTTATTTAGCACACCTAATGTGCCAGAAAATGTCTTCTCCTAGGTTTCACTTCCCCAAATGACAGTTTACTGTTTGTTCAGTGGCCTGTGGAAATGATCAGCTCTGCACTTCAAAGACCATCAAAGAGGACACCCTAGAATCTAATTGGTGTTTTGGGAATTTCCCCAGTGTGCTTTGTAATAATGCAGTATAGTGGAAAATACAGAAGATGAGGAGATAGAAGACTTGCATTTTAATATCCGCTGCTCTTGTTGTAGGTCTTTGGAAAAGTCACTTAAACTTTGGGCATCCATTTTCCTTATCTATGAAATGCAGATGATAATATCAGCTCTGTCTATCTCACAAGGTTGAGGAAATTAGTGAAATGTTAAAAGTGAAATGAGCTTTGTAAATTCTACATCCACATACAAATAAAGAGAATCACCATTTGTGATAATCATATTATAACATAACGTTATGTGGTTGGCATATTAGAACACAGTTATCTATTTGAAAGTAAAAATAGTATTTGACCTATTAGTAGAATTGTAAACATATGGTGTGGCAAAACCAGACATAACCAAGTGGATTCCAAAAGACAGATATAAAAGAAATAGGAAATTTTAGAGCAACTTGACTTCTATCACTTGGAGCAGACTGCCTTGAGCACCATAGTAGGGATGATTCTGAAGCCGGGTGTTCAGTTCTCCAAGGGAAGCATGTCATGATCGACTCAGCTATGGGCCCAGGATATGAGACAATCGTCCCATATTTGGCATCCCCATTCTTGATATTTCTACTCCTCAAAACAATTCTGTGAGACAGATTACGCATTCCTCCCTAAACATCATCACCAGATTGAAAAATGGCTTTATTATATAAAAATTAAAATATGCTTTATAAAGTAAAGAGCAAGAAACTCTCCGGCATCTTTTTATAGACCGGCAGAGCTGGGAGGAATTCTATGCGGAATCTCATGTAGATTTTACAGAGAGGGAGCCAGAGGCCCAGAGAGTAGAAGGGACATTGTTTTCATCTTGTAATATTAAATGCGGTAATGAATGAGAACCTGCTTTGAAAAATACAAGACCATACACAAATGTAAAGTATTTTGATGTGTTGATTAGTCTCTTCCATATGTCTTTGTTTATGCCCAGTTATGTATTCCTGCTCAGAAGAAACTCCCATCTCTAAATCCCAGGTGACTCTATTCTTTTTCTCCTATTTTACCATTTACATCTGAAGGAGTTCAATTAACAACAACAACAAAATATTAGGGAGGTACTGCATTAAAAGTTTATAATGCTGACTGGCAGTATCTTTTGGAACCTGTGGGTGGAAAGTGATTTTTTATATTATTTTTGTTTCCTGGCTATGAAATTGTAGCACTGAAGTGGAAAAAATACTGATTGTCACACCCAAAGAAAATGTTTCCTTATAGAAAATAGAGACCGAACATTAATCTTTTTTCCACGAGAGGAAATTTCACGACGAGGAGAGCAACAAACAAAGCTTTTTAAGTGAAGTAGCCACTTCTTATTTATTATGGTTCATATTTTAGTGGTGAAATCTACCACTTTTAACAGATGGCAGATTTTCGTTATTTTTAGCTTTTATTCTATTTTAACTTTTATTCTGAAACGTTAAAATGTCTTATCACGAATGCCAAATAATGTGAGACTCCACCATCTTCAAATGACTTTTTAGCGGATTGAACCACCTCTAAAACAGAGATGTGAACATTTATCCTGTAATAGTCTAAACATGAATTTCCCTTTTAACAGGCACGAAGGATACGTACCAAGCAGTTATCTGGTGGAAAAATCTCCAAACAGCCTGGAAACCTATGAGTAAGAAATTTTCTTTGTTTTCTAAAAATATGGCATTAAGGTCCTCCTTAGATTAGGAATAAATTATTGGTTGATTATAAAAGTACCGGACATTTTTTTTCTTCTTGAACTTTGATCCCTAAGTGAAGAGTAGAGGAACACTTTAAATAGGAGAAGGGGGCCAATGTATGTTCCCACCTCGCCTTTTATCAAAGAGATGACTCTAAGATATCCACATAGATTGGGTAAAAGGAAAAAGTTTCTTCCGGGAATCTTGGTCTCACTTGAGAAGGAAAAAAGCAGTTGGAACACTGGATCAAATACAAACTCACCTAAAACATGCTTTAAGGCAATACTTCTAATACCAAAATAGCAGACAAATAGGAATTAAATATCTGCTTAGCTTGTATGGTCTATTTCAAGTTGTCATTTATAGAAGAATTCACATGGATATAATTTTAATGGAAATACTTAGTATTTAATAAAATCCAATTGTAATGGACAATATACTCACCACGTATATATGCTCCCTAGCTCCGCGGCTGGAGGTCTTGAAGCAATAGCCCCATAGCACCATGAGAACTCTGTGTTCACAGATCTTCCTTTCTAAATAGCACTTCGCACTGAAATAGAGTTCTTGAAGAAATGGCTTGGGGATTCAGAGTCAAGGCAGGGAAATTACGGAATGAACTTGGAACACCTTGCACCAGAAAGTAAGGAAATACTGCCCATCTCCCAAAATATTTTAATGATGTGGACTTGTGGAATGGGCAAAGAATTCAGCTTAAAATTGTTCCTTCTGGCCAAATATACAACAATTTGAGTGTTAAAATAAGTAACAAGGGTAATGGACTACAATCCATACAATAAAATAAGAATCCATAACAGATAGTTTGACAGATAAGTAAGTAAATACAAGAATAAATAAGAAAGTTCTTTCTTACCATAGACTGCCAGCTAATGAATGTAGAAGGAATGATCATGGTTAAAAGTTACCATTTGGGGGCACCTGGGTGGCTCAGGGGGCACCTGAGCCTTTGGCTCAGGTCACCGTCCCAGGGTCCTGGGATCAAGCCCTGCATTGGGGTCTCTGCTCAGTGGAGAGCCTGCTTCTCCTTCTCCCTCTGCTGCTCCCCCTGCTTGTGCATGGTCTCTCTCTCTCTCACTGTCTCTGTCAAATAAATAAATAGATAAAATCTATAAAAAATAAATAAAAATCATCATTTGTAACTCAAAGCATCAACTAATTCAGGCAAGACACTTCAATGAAAATTTCACAACTAGGGAGGCGAAAGTTTGATATTTACCTAGTTTCAAAGTATCTTCTCAGAAATCACTTACGTGCTCGCTTCGGCAGCACATATACTAAAATCAGAAATCACTTACTAGTAATAGAGTGGAAATATCTCGTAGACCCCCATTTTAACCAAGTGATCCAAGCTCACATCAATAACAGGACAAGACCACCCAGGCCTCCAGATATGACACACTGAGAAGGACACAACATTATTTCTGTGCTATTCCTGCCCAAACACACATAATCTGAGCTTCATTGTGAGGAAATAATAGGGAAATCCATATTCTACAAAATAACTGGTCTGTGCTCTTCAAAAATGTTAATATCATAAAAGACTCAAAAGGCTAAAAAATTGGTCCACAATGAAGGAGCCTAAGGAGATGAGTGTTGATAATAAATGGACTTGTAATCCTGAATTGGATCTTGAGCCATTAAAAAAAAAAAAGTAGGGGCACCTGGGTGGCTCAGTCAGTTAAGCACCCAGCTCTTGATTTCAGGTCAGGTCATGATCTTAGAGTTGTGAGATCAAGCCACGTGTTGGGCTCCATGCCAAGCATAGAACCTGCTTAAAATTCTCTCTCTCCCCCTCTCCTTCCCGCCCTTCCCCCCACCTTGCTCTCTCTCTTCCTCCCTCCCCCCAGCCCCCAAAAAGTGTCAAAACACATTATTGGGATAATGGATGGAATTTGAATAAAGTCTGAAATCAGATTATAGTATTGCCCCAATGTTAAATTTCCTGATTTTGGTAATGATACCGTGTTTATATAAGTATATATTATATTTCTTAGAAATACATTCTGAAGTACTTAGGAGTAAAAGTCTATTCTCAAATGGTTTGGAAAACATACATATGTATTTGTCTATTCAGAGGGAATGTAAAGCAAACACATAAAATGTCAGAAATTAGTTCATCTGGGTCAAGTGTATATAGGTGTTCTTTTATAGTATTTTATAACATTTATATACATTTGAAATTTTTTTAATATGAAAAATGTTCAAGTCCTCACCAAATATAAGATGCCAGGGTTGAAGAATATTAGCTAATGAAGACTTCCATTAACTTATTTGAGCTCTTATTAGTTCAAAGGTGGTCAAGTTATTCATTGCTGAAATTCTAACAGACTCTGTAGTGAAGAGCCATCATTTTCTGGAGAGTCTCTCAATCTGAGAGTAGCTTTGATCAAGTATGTGTGAGTAGCCCCTGCCTCAGCTAACGGCAGAGTCATTGGTTCCAAGAATACTTGAGCACCAATGAAACGTGTAGGAAATAGGCTTAAATAAAATTCTTTCCTTTTTTTTTTTATAGCCAATGCATTTAGGAAAAAAAAAATGGGCATTTATTTCAAATGATCACAAGTTGGGAAGTTTTGTTTGCTTATGCTTTTAATCAGACTCTCGTCATTTATGATGGAGGCAAACTCATAATTCTATCAGAGTATAAACCACTAGAGAATGGTGGAGCCCAGGGCAAATAAAAAAAGATATTCCTTCTCCTGAAGGTATTTTAGGTCATAAACAAAACAAAACACTGGACCATAGAAGCAAAACTGTCTGTGAGCCCTATTTATTCTATACACTGTTGGTTTGCATTTTTCAGATTATGGGATCACAGCTAGAGAATAATATGACTCACAAACATCCAGACATTTAGAACTGTGTGTGTGTGTGTGTGTGTGTGTGTGTGTGTGTTTGTGTATGATACCCAAGATGATGATTTTTTTTTTTATCCTTGAACTTAATATTGTCTAGTTTCAAGTGACATCTGCATAAGAACTCAAAAATGTACCATCTGGGAGCGTAATCATGGTTTGGTACATCCATCCAAATCAGGTCTCCTGCCCTGATTTGGGGGCATAACCTTGGGCAAGTTTCCTTATGAGGCTGGATCTTAGATCCCTTTCCTTTAAAAGGAAGGGTCAGACAAGATGAAGGAGGCACCTAACTGACATTCCCTCCCCGCTCCTGAGCTCAGGGTAGACATCACTCTTAGTGACCTACTGAGCTCAGGTGTGCAGCTTTAGGCAGCTATGACTAATTGTTCAGAGCATGCACATGAGATGAAGCGTATTTGCCATCCCTCAGCTGGATAAGTTACAAGAGCCCACCAAGGTATAAAGTACCATTCAGTTGCGTGACGTTCAAAAGCTCAGGCACATCCACTAATTCCCTAATTTGTAGCTGCTTTCTAGTAGCCACACAAGTTTGATAAGTAATGTTCCTTCCCCACCCAGAACTTCTCTCCTCTGGGGTTTATACTTTCCTGAAACTGATTGTTAACTGATGATCTTTCTATCCCCTCTTATCTAATAAGTAGCCAAGGAAGCCAGGTGGTGGCTCAAGCATTACCAGCAACATTCAAAAACTTCACCTCTAAAAATCACTCATATTCTTCTTACCATTTTGTAGGGGTTTTTTTCACCAGACCTCAAAATTGTAAAAATAATATAATTACTTTGCAGAAGATCTTGAAAACCAGTCTAAAAGAGGAAAATCCCACAATTGCTTTACAAGACTAAACTTTCAAATTTGTGCTCAATTTTTATAGCTGTCCTAGCATCATCCTACTTATAACCACCCACTGACTTACAAAATGGAAAAGGTGAAGGTTTTCTAAAATTTTATTATGGAAAATTTTCAAATGCACAAAAGTAAGGAGAATAACATAACGAACCTCCATATGCCCAAAACTCAGATTCAAAAATTATTGATACTTTACCAATTCTGATTCATTTGTTCCCTTCCAATTAGACATTTTATTACCTGGAAATGGTTTGTGCCTTTGTTTTTGAGTTGAAAGCACTGGTACAGAGAGAAAAGAACCAAATCATTTTCTAGCATTATCTTTTACAAGTAAATAATAAAAAAAATTCAACTGTCATTGACATATGACTTTTTCCTGCTTTCAGGTGGTATAATAAGAGTATCAGCCGAGACAAAGCTGAAAAACTTCTTTTGGACACAGTAAGTCTCCTTAACCTACCTTTTGACTTAAGATAAAATGAACTGTGCTCTTTTTTCCAGCCACGCTGTCGTTTATGCCAGTGCGGTAAACTGACATACTGGATTACAGTGGTTTTCGTGTCCAGTGGAAATATTCTGGGGATTTTTAGAAACTAGCATATAATAGGATAAGAAACTTGGGGAGCGTCCAAGGCCTTGGTATTGACATGCAACTGTGACAACAGGTAGGGTGGCCTTTCCAGCCACGATGCCTGATCCCAGGGAGCCCGGGGGCTAGCTTGCCTTGCCAGCTTCTCTGGTGAGGTCAGGGGTGAATGTGACTTAGATACTACTTGGTTGGGTTGTGTGTCCAGAAGAAATACATCCCTTGTTTCAACTTTTTTTTTTAAGATTTTATTTATTTATTTATTTGACAGAGAGAGATCACAAGCAGGCAGAGAGGCAGGCAGAGAGAGAGGGGAGGAAGCAGGCTCCCTGCTGAGCAGAGAGCCCGATATGGGGCTCGATCCCAGGACCCTGGGTTCATGACCTGAGCCAAAGGCAGAGGCTTTAACCCACTGAGCCACCCAGGTGCCCCCTCAACTTTTTTTTAATGCACCAGTTCTTAAGAGCCATGCAGTATAAGTAGCAGGACTGATCTTGCCCAGCGATGTCAGAATAAAAGGAGAGAGGGATGAGAAAAGAGAAAGCAGAATGCGGTGGGGAAAGTACAGGTCCCAGTTCCTGCTCTCTCACCAACACATTGGGTGATCTGGGGGATGTTTCTTCTTCCTGGACCTTAGTTTCTCAATGAGTACAGGACGAGTGTTGGATTAAGTCAGTGATGACAGTTACCCAGTACTCATGCTGTTACCCTTTGCTCCTGATCTTATATGACACCGTTGATCATGGTGTATGGCTTTGGAATCCTTCACAACATGGGGCTCCAGACAGCTGCCATCAGGTGACTGGCACCCAAGGCAAGCTCTCTCTGCCTGGACCAGAGGCCATTTGTTATTCCAGGACAGCGCCTCTCCAATATCTGTGTTGATGGCTCACACTTTTGTGGTCGGTTTTCAATTTCTGATTTGTCACATACTTGTATTTTATAAAAGAAATGAAAATGAACTACTAGAAAAAATAAAGAAGCAAAGACACAAAAAATGCAAGTTCAATTTTGTATTAGTCTTAGATTCATTAGACATGAAATTACTCTGATTACTATGAAAAAAATTTCTAAATGCCTACTCTCGATTTCTCTTTTTGTATGGTGGCAGACCAGCTACAGTGTGCCAACTGGCACCCATCCGCAGACCGCACTTTGAGCAGCACTGAAAATTGCATATTTATGGCTCTTTCAGAGAAACCAAATGCATGGAGTTATTGAGAAAAGGTCTTCCACAGAGCAGTCAATGAATTTACCAGTATACAGGCCTAGAGCAGTTGTTCTCAGGATTGTTTGCACATTAGAATCCCCTGGGAAACATTTTTTTTAAAATACCAATGCCCAAGCCCCACCCCAGATTAATTAAATCAGAATATCTAGTTGGTTGGATCTAGGCATTAGCAATTCAGAGAAAAATCTCCCCAGGTGAGTCTGATATTCAGACGATGTTAATGACCTGTGCCCAACACTAGCCTCACTGGTGACACCAGTACAGTATGTATGAGTTAATGGAAGCATTAGTCTCTCTGTGCTAAAATGTCAACCCTATTCCTGCCATTTCACCATATAACATTTTCCAGTTTGGATCTTAAGGTTTTCCTATCTTTAGGGATTTTATTTTATTTTTATTTTTATTAGAGATTTTATTTATTTATTTGAGAGGGAGAGTGAGCAGGAGAGAGAGAGAGAGCACGAGCAGGGGGAGCAGCAGGTAGAGGGAGAGAGAGAAGCAAGCTCCTCACTGAGCAAGACCAATGCAGGGCTCAATCCCAGAACCATGGAACCATGACCTGAGCTGAAGGAAGACTCTTAAAGGACTGAGCCACTCAGACACCCTATCTTAAAGGATTTTAAATTAAATTGCAGATCTTTCCTGCACAGAATACAGGTGGGGTGACCAACTCATCTTGGTCAGCCTGGGACTGTCCCAGCTGAGAGTCCTATGTCCAGGAATCCCCACCCTGCTCAGTCCTGCGCAAACTAGGACAGCTGGTCACCCAACCCAATAGCCACTATTTGCACAGTGGTTAAGAATGAGCCACAAAGAAGGGGACCCAGGACCATGCCAGGGAGGGAATGAAAGACTGTGATGGTAATAATGCTAATAATTAGTGCTAATAATTAATATTTAATGCTAATAATTAACTGTGTGCCTTTAAATTATTCTTTGATAATATTCATCAAATATGTACTTTTGTAGAAAGGGAAACTGGTAACAGATTGATTCATCCTATCAAAGGCAAAAATAGAATTTCTAAAAGAGGAAAGGTGGTGGGGAGAAGGAAAACCCACAGTCATACCGGTAGCAACGAACCCCATCTTCTTTGAGTAAGTTGCTGATAAGCAAGCAGCTAGCCTAGAGGACAAGGTGAGATGTTCTGCCCTTGGGCAACTTGTTCTCATCAAAGAGAGGAAGTTCAGTTGTTTATGGATTTCCCAAAGGACTCTGTGCTTTCCAGGGAGTGAGGCACAAGAGGCCGCCCGTGTTCTGGCCGCCGCCGTCAGTGTCTCCATTAGCGGCCACCTCACCTACGCTGTGTGCACACCATTTCCTTCATTACGATCGCTGGCTATAAACTCGAATACTTTACCATTTTGCTGAGCGCAGAATGAAGCGCTTAGGGGTGCTTGAGACAGGATCTTTGGGCCTCAGTAAGCTTTAGACTTTGCTGGGAAACAAGACAAACTAGAGAGTTAGAGGATAATCCAAGGTAAACTGTGAATGTGCGGCAGGCTTTCAGTGACCTCGGAGCTCAGACAAGACTCCAAGGAGTCACATCTCGTGCGTGGGTGGGGGAGGGGGGGACACTGAGCTGAGTCATGGATGGACTCTTGGTTTCTCCTCGGTTCCACATCAACTCAGCACTTAAGATCATTTCCTGTGATCCCCAGGAGGTCATGCATTAGAATCACCCGGGACTCTTAAAAATCCAGAATCTGAATGGGCCCTGCCCCAGAGCTAGAATCAGAATCTCCAGAGTTAATCCCTGGGAATCTGTATTTTTTCCAAGTCAAACTTGTGATGCCCGGGCAGCCAGCTCAGCTCTGAGCTCCCCAACCTGTGTTATCGGATAACACAGTAAAACCTGACCAATGAGAACTAACTGAGAGGATTGCAGAATTAATTAAAACCTTGAATTATAATGTTTGAACAAGTGCAGTTGTGTTATTTTCAATCACACGTTGGTTAATGAAGTGTTACCCATGGAGCACTTGAAACAGCCCACATGAATGACAAGCGGAAGAGGTTTCCTGTTTTATAGCAGTACTTTGGAGACACTTAAACACATTTTGCTTGCTGGGGCACTTGAAACATTCCTCCCTGCTCCTATTCTGAACACTTTACCTCCTTGGCTAATATAAGGGCAAACTTCAGTGAGTCCCTGTATTGCCTACTGCTTGAAACAAAGACAGAATTGTTTCCTGGGTGTGTTTAGTATCTGTCTGACAAGCATAGGACCCTGAAGAGGTGGATTGATATATTTTTATTAACTAGACCTCCTGACATACAGCCCCATCCTTAGTGCTCCACTAAGATGTAAAGGCTTTATCTTCCCGCTGCACCTGGAAAACCAAACTGGATTTTTGACAAAGCAGTTGCTCAATAAATAGTTGTTGAATGAAAGAATACATCAAATGCTTCACAAGTGTTTTTTCATTAACAACATACTTAGGGGTGCCTGGATGGCTCAGTGGGTTAAAGTCTCTGCCTTCGGCTCAGGTCATGATCTCAGGGTCCTGGGATCAAGCCCTGCATTGGGCTCTCTGCTCAGCAGGGAGCCTGCTTCCTCCTCTCTCTCTACTTGCCTCTATCTCTACTTGTGATCTCTCTCTGTCAAATAAATAAATAAAATCTTTAAACAGAACAAAGCAAAACAAAAAACAACCATGCTTAAAGAGAATCTGGCTGATTGGGAGCATCACTGGGGGATTTTTTAAAAATATAAATTCCAAACTCCAGCCCTCACCAGGAAGAAGCTCTGGAGGTGGCCCCCAGGTGGTTCTCCTGGGACTTACCCAAGTTGGGAACCACAGAAAGGCATGTCCTATACTGTCCTATCAACTTCTCAGATACACCACCTCTAAGAAGCCTCTCATGTTTTCCCTCTTCCTGGCCGTGGAATGTGGTGGCCTGGCCTTGGAACCCTTATGGTGCAATATCATTATTTCTCCAGTGGTACTGTTCTCACTCTGCCTTGGGCCTCAGGAATTTCTCTTCTCTTAACCCATTTAGGTAGAGGGTAAATTCCTTGGGAGCAGGTATTCCACACCTTACAGCCTCACACACATTAGGTGACCTGAATTTCAGGCAGTAGCCTAATTCCAAGGCATTGGTTTATCTTATTTCAAAGATGTCATTAAAGATGTAATGTTGACTTAATAATGGATTTGTTTCAGGAGAAGAAAACAACTGGTTCCAGAATGTGTCAGTGACATTCTCCTAAGTGTAATGCCACAAGACAGGCTATGAATTACCAGTCTGGTTTGTGCAGTAACCTACCCTGTGTGTTAAGATTACCTTCTGTAAACTCACCTTTAAATCATATGGGCAGAAAGAAGGCAACAGACTCCTAATAAGTCAACATATCTCAGATAAAGGCAAACAGTGGAATTAATACTTCCAACAGATGGTGTAAGATAGCACATGACAATAATGGTTAACGATAGCCCTAACAGTCCTTATTTTGGCAGATTCCAGGAAATCTTCTATGCGCTTTAATTCTCCCAACAACTGTATATTTTATAGATGAGGAAACCAAAACTCATATATTTAATCAGGAAATACCTGGAATTCACAGAATTATAGGCTGGTAAAGTAAGAATTCCATTTAAAGAACATCTGTGTTATAGAAGAGTAAAATGAGGCCAAGTTCAGCGTGTGAGTTGGTGGCATGGTTCTGAACTAGAGGGCAGGTGTGTACATACACAAACCCACAGGTGCGCGTGTGTGCGCGCACACACACACATGGTAGTAAGGTAATATATGAGTTAACTTGTATTCTCCCATCCCCATAATTCCCATCAATATATTTCACCAGCTCCATGACATTTTTCCCTACTGTTGCCTCTTTATTTTTCTAGGTAAATTAGTACAAGGTAAACTGAGAACTTGAAAGTGTCCCAAGGGAATGAGGGCCCCCCTTCCGGCTGTATTGTACAAGTCAGTGCCCCTTTGCATGGCGGTGATGTGAGCAAATACCTTTTAAACTCCAGTGTTCTTGGTGGTTGTGACTTCCTCTGAGCTAGCCCCTTACAGGAAGTAGGCGGTAAAGCACATTCTAGATGCCTCACTTTCCTCAGAACTCTAGACTGCCTCAGCCCCAGACCAGAGTTTCCTGTCACCTCACTGAATGTTACTTAGAGCTACCATGATGGGGGAAGGGCTCTGAGCCTCCCATGCTCAGCTGAGCTGACTGCAAACCTCACCTCCCCTTTTTCTCACATCTGTGGATTACTCTTGTTAACAGTTGGGTCCCACTCTGATCACAGTTTAAAAAAAATAATAATAATGGCTTCTTTGGAGGAATTAGAACAACAATAAAACATTCCTAATTAAATAGATGTTTGCACTCCCCCCTTTATAGACACTTGATAAACATCTGCGTTTGTTTTATTGTTGTTGTGAGGTTTGTTTGGTTTTTTGTTGGTTTGTTTATTTCTTCCCATTTTAGAATAACTTAGATTTGTAGACAAAATCTTCCTCTGCTAAAGTTTGGTTTCTTCCTGCCTTGAGTTTAACCCATCACATTCCACTGAGGCAAGAGTAAAAGCTTCAGTATTTGGCAAAGGGGGAAATCTCTGAAGACAAACTCTGCTACATGTAGCTCAGGGATGACTATCACAAACGTGATGTCGAGAAAAGAAGCCAGATGCAGATTCACTTTTCACAGTAGCCGCAAGGTGGGAACAGCCCAATGTCTGTCCTTTGATGAATGGACAAACAAAATGTGGTATGGTCATATGATGGAATGTTATTCAGCCATAAAAAGGAACAAAGTACTGATACACACTACAACTTGGATAAATCTTGTAAACAACATGTCAAGTGAAAGGAGCCCAGTGCAAAAGACTACCTATTATATTATTTCATTTACATGAAAAGTCTAGAATAGGCAAATCTATAGAGATAGAAAGCACATTATTGTGGCAGGGGTGCCAAAAAAACAGAGGCATATTTGGGGAGTAATGGAAATGTTATAAAATTAGATTAAATGGCACAACTCTATCAGTTTACTAAAAATTATCAGATTGTATGCTTGAACTGGGAGCATTTCATAGTATGTAAATTATGCTTCAAAAGCTATTTTTTTTAAGGATTTTATTTATTTATCTGACAGAGAGAGAGAGAGATCACAAGTAGGCAGAGAGGCAGGCAGAGAGAGAGGGGAGGCAGGCTCCCTGCTGAGCAGAGAGCCCGATGTGGGGCTCGATCCCAAGACCCTGGGACCGTGACCAGAGCCGAAGGCAGAGGCTTAACATACTAAGCCATCCAGTGGCCCCTCAAAAGCTATTTTAAAATCAAATGAGCTAATTGGGGATTTTTGAGGTCATATAGATCACCTTTATTTTAGAAATCAAATAAGCTACTAACCCTAAAGGGGAAAAATTCAAATGGTTGGAAAATCAAGTTGTTTTTTGTTTTGTTTTGTTTTGTTTTGTTTTGTTTTAGAAAAAAAAATTTTTTTAAGATTTTATTTATTTACTTGAGAGAGAATGAGTGAGAGAGAGCATGAGAGAGGAGAAGGTCAGAGGGAGAAGCAGACTCCCCAAGGAGCTGGGATCCCGATGCAGGACTCGATCCTGGAAGTCCGGGATCATGACCTGAGCTGAAGGCAGTCGCTCAACCAACTGAGCCACCTAGGCGCCTGAAAATCAAGTTTTTTAAAGGAGGATTTGTAAGCAAATGTTAAAAGGGTCTTTAAAATTTCACTGGATAAATGATTTACATTTATATCTGAGAAACGGAAAATAAGAATCTGTTTAACACTCGTCTGCTCTCACCATGTCCAAGATTCTGCACAGAAGACATTGTGGGTAATGTGGGATGCTAACTACAGGCTCAAGATCTTATATTCCTCCAGAAAGATTATAATGGATTTTCTTAGATTTAAAAAGAAATCATGAAATAAAAATTTTGAAAATAAATTCTATGTGAACAAAGAATATTAGGACTGTTTCAGGATGTCTTAGAAAAAAGAAATACAGTAGCTTTCTGCATTTTCCTCAATTCTTGCCCTGTTTTCAGGCAGCAGCCAGAGGAACCCAAATTTACAGCCTTAGGATAGGGAGACCACGGCTAAGCAAGAGGGACCTAAAGATTCAGGTCTCAGCTTTAAATTTCTTTTTTCTCCCCCAGTTTTAATAGCGATATGACCAATAAATATATCTGTATGTTTATCAGTATATACATATATGTGTGTAATGATTTTAAAGTGTACAATATAATAATTTGATATCTATATATAGCAAAATGATTAATATAATAAGTTTCATTAATATCCATCACTACACATAGTTACAGATTGTTTTCTCCTGTGATGAGAATGTTTAAGATCTGTTCTCCTAGCAACTTTCAAATAGAAAGTACAATATTGTTAGCTATTGTCATCAGTCTGGACCTTGCTTTCCAGGTCTTATTTACCTTATAACTGGAAGTTTATACCTTTTGGCCCCCTTCATCCAATTCCCCCACCTTCCACCCCCACTCTGAATTTCAAAATAGATCCTTGAAATCCCAGAAGAGAAAAGAAGAGTTTTGGGAGTTTCACATTTATGTGGTAAATTATAGGTTTGACAAGAATGCACAATAATATAAGGGCCAGTTGTCCCCAGCCGCCCCCCCTCCCAACTCCCCGGCTCCCAACACACACACCCCTGTAGGTTTAGGGCCAAGTTAGAGGTAGTAGGTTATATTTCTGTATGAGCTTTCTAACTTTTAATGCTGTTTTCAGAGTGAGAGACTACTCGTCGGGTCTATTATAAGTAAGAGCTACATGTCCAGTTGAGTCAATGGCAACCAAAGCTGGATGTCTATAAGAATCACATGTTGAGCTTCTAGAAAGTTCAGGAACCAGGGTGCCAGTCCTAGAGATTCTAAGTGTGTAGGTAAGGGGTGAAGCATGGTTCACTGTCTGTTGTTGTTTTGGTATTTGTCTTGTTCTATGTTTCAGTTTCTTCAGATGACTAAGTGTGGGACACAGGGGTGTAGGGAATTAGGCCAGAGCCATAGTTCTCAACCGGGATGATTTTGTCCCCCAAGAAATACTTGGCAGGGTCTGACATCCAGTTGCTAGAGGCCAGAGATGCTGTTAGACATCTTAAAATGCTGGGATTCTAGGAGTCATACAATTAGCATGTCCATCTGTGTATCTTGCTTTTATTGTGTGTAGACAATCCACTTTGGAGCTTGGGGGAACAACTCACATTGTTCTAAATTGCATGCGCTTTGCTCCATGTGCTACCAGTATGTGTGGCACACACATGAGCCTCATGTGTTTCGCTGGCCTTCACCTGAGGCCCTCACCATGTTGAAGCTAAGTAGATCATAATAACAGTTTTTGCAAAAATTACCGGCACAGATTTACAGCTGGATAGGAACAGAGCATTAGACATGAAGTACTCCAGACAGAGTTCAGACTTAAAGTTCCCACCAGGAATGAACACATTGGCATATGCATTTGCTTGTATTTTTTCCATCAGCTCTGGCAAAACTGTTGAGGGGGGGTGAAGAGTACATTCTTGGGGCCTTCCCTTCTCTCTACTTCCCTCATTAGATGAGGAACTTCATGGGTTTTTTTCCTCCTTTTGCCCACAGCAAAATCAGCACTCTAGAAAGGGGCTAATGCATACTTTCCCATTAAGGAACTGATGAAGCTTCAAGATCAGAAAGCTTTGTGCCCTTGGAGGGAAATGGAGAAGTAGCTTCTAACATGTGTTGAGGGGCGGTATTATGGAACCGTGGAAGGAACATGAGCTTTGCTCACTTGCCACATTCAAGGTTCAAAGCCCAGGTCTGCCACTTGCTAGCTATGGATTGTGAGAAAGTCACCTCAGCCCTGTGGCACTCAGTATCCTCATCAGTAAACTGAGGATATAAAATCTAGATTGCATGTTGTAGTGAGGGGTGGGTAACATCTGTACAAGCCTGGTATGTGGGGACCCTCACAAGAACAGAGCTCCATTTATCTGTCTTCATTCCCTGCTTACGTCATCACTAGAAGTCTCTGATCCATGACAGGACCCTCAGGAAATACCTGTTCAATGAACAAATAAAACGGTAGCCAGTATTGCTGAAAGTGTGCTCTATGCGAAGCTGACGTATTATCTTTCCTCCTTTCACAGACAAGCCAGTGGAGCTGGAGGCATGAGGCTGGTTTCCTGGGATCACTAACCCTCTGTATTTTCTAACCATTCTAGGGCAAAGAAGGAGCCTTCATGGTACGAGATTCCAGGACCCCGGGAACATACACCGTGTCTGTTTTCACCAAAGCCGTTGTAAGGTATGGTGCCAAGTCAGCTTACTAGAAATGGTGTGCTTTCCCTGATCCCTTTGAGAAAGCCAAGGTCAGGGAGATGAAGGACAGAACTGAAGTCGTTTCACTAGAAAGTAACAGAACTGGGTCCAGACACCAGGTTCTCTTCTAAGTTAGCTCCCCTGAGTGCAGAGCTCTAAAGAAATAAAAGTATTTGAGCAGCAGTTGATGGGTTTATAATATAACCCACAGCTAACAGAGAAAGATAACTTTCAGCCAGAAGTGAGAAGATAGGCGTTTTAGTTCTGGCTTGGCTAATAAAGCTCCCTACCATTTACTGAGTCCTTACCATGTGCCAGAATGTTATTGTTTCTGATCCTAACAAGTTCCGAAGGCAGGCGTTACTATGCTCCTTCCATAATAGGAAAAAACAAGGCTCAAAGAGCAGATGGCAACTCACGTGGCCACACCAGCGTCATGCTCTAGCCAGCTGACTGCAAGACCCCACTTGTCTCCCCTCTCTGTACCTCAGTTTCCTGCTTGGTAAAACAAATGTCTAAGAGCATATCCAGGTCTCAGATTCTCTTCTAATTAAAAAATAAGTAAGAAAAAAGAAGGTTGGCAATGCGTAAGGTCCAGTAAGAATTAAGAGAAAAGAGAAAAAAAATGATTACGGTGTCCTCAGGGATCACTTTTTGGAGAAGGAGAACATAAGCAAGACTTGGAGCAAGAGCAGGGCCTGGTGGAAAAGAAGGTTGCTGCCCAGGGATGGAAAAGCAGACAATGCACATCACAGAGGGGCTGTGCCTCTGCTATGGCTGTGGATAATGGGGACAGTGACCTGCAGCTCCATGAGATAGGATGGAGAAGGAATGAGAAACAAAGTCTATGCTGAGGGTGTCCAAGACCATGTCCAGGTTCAGTGATCCACTGCAAAGACTCACGGGACTCAGTATATAGTCAGTCACACTCAAGGCTAAGATTTATTACAGCAGAAGAAGACAAAACAAAAGCAGCAAGGGAGAAGACACATGGGGCAAAATCCAGAGGGAGGCAAACATGAGCTTCCAAGAGTCCTCTCCCAGCAGAGTCACACAGGACATGCTTTATGTCTCCTGCAACAAGCTTTGACAACAAGGGTAAAATGGGGTCTACCAGGGAAGCTCATGAGAGACTCAGAGCTTAAGGTTTTCACTGGGGGCTGGTCACCTAGGCACCCTCTGTCTAGCACATAGCAAAATTCCATTACCCCAGAAGAAAAGCAGGCATGGAACATAAACTACAGCAATTTAGGAACAGCCATCCTTATCAGTTAGACAGTGGTAAGAGCCCTCCCTAAATCCCAGTTCTCAGATGCTAGCCACGGAGCAACCTTGCAAGCAGGCCTTTCTAAAGAGAGCATTCAGAGCTGTTAAGTTAACTCTTTGCTCTGTAAAGTCACATAAGTGCTAAGGGTCCAGAATGTTCCCTTCTCATCTGCTCCACACAGCAGAGGAGGCAAGCATGTAGCACACACGAGAACATTCCCCACTTCATGGCTGTAGAGGAAGCATCACCAGCCCGTCATGGCACTGATTCTAACTGGGTCTAGATGCAGCCTCCGAGTCCTTCTTACCCCAGCACCCAGGGCCACCCTGTCAAGATGGACACACAAGTTAAAATACACCTGCCATCCTTCTGAGAGGGTAAAAAATAAATTTAATAGGGGTCTGATACCGGTAGACATGTTTGTGTCTAAATATTGCTTATTAATAACCACTGCATTTATGTTTCATCTGTTTCAGTGAGAACAACCCCTGTATAAAGCACTATCACATCAAAGAAACAAATGACAACCCCAAGCGTTACTATGTGGCTGAAAAGTATGTGTTTGACTCCATCCCTCTCCTCATCAATTATCACCAGCATAATGGAGGAGGTGAGTGCTAAAGGACGAGGCCAAGGGGGAACCCTCGCAGGGGAACTTGGAGAAAAAATGACAAACACCCCGCCAGGTTTCTTCATCTCAGACGAGCTGACCATAAATAAAAACCAAATCTCCAGATAAAAAGGGATGCCAAATATTGATCATATTATGTATTTTCCATTACCAAATTCTGTTGTTAGACTCATGGGATTTTGCCACCTGCCCAGCTATATTTATCCCTCTTGTCAGACAGGATGTAGTGTCAGTGACTAGGCTTTGGGATTAGTTTTCCAGAATAAAAATAGCTTTTGCATTGGATTATATTTTTGCTGGTGATTTAACTTGAACAGTTGCTACAGCCAAGCTCTAACTACTACTGCCTTTCATATTTTACTCAACCCAGGTCTGGTCACCAGACTCCGGTACCCAGTTTGTTCCTGGAGGCAGAAAGCACCGGTCACAGCAGGACTTAGATACGGTGAGCCGTGCATTCCGTGATGTTAAGTATTTGCACTAACTCACATCCCTAAAGATCAAATTCTGAATGGACTTTCCACATACCTAATCCTTCCCCAGACTTAAAATAACCATTACAACAGGTACACTGTATATCCGGAGATGGTGTGCACAAAGGAATATTTACAAAGTGTGTAAGAGAGATGTCTATATGAGCACATTTACCAAGGTCAAATCAATGTCCGTTGGTTTTACTGAAGAGTTCATCTATGAAGTGTTTATTGAGCACCTACTTCGTACAGAGCACTCTATCTACTAAATGCTATTAGGAAAAAATATTAGAAAATTATGCTTTAGGACCGTTATTACCACCACCCATCTTCAGAACTTTTGTATCATCTAGTTTGCTGGGTATGGTCCATTGCAAGGGCTGAAAGTTAGAAGCGTTCAGAAGTGTTTGTCTGCATAACATGGTGTTAATTTTTTTTTCCAGTGCCTTTAGGCAAAGCTTGCATCTCCAGTGCCATAAGCCTTCTTATTCCCTCTTATCCTTTGGAACTGCTTCCCTCATTTTTTATTATCTACTTGGTGCCTAAAGGCATTTGAGTTTGCATCCTCTGGTCTTAACTGTTGTGGTTGAGGAGAAGGCTCGAGTAATTTTCATTTTGGGTCTCCTAGATGGGTGGTTCTCAGAATCCAGTGTATATCTAAGTCATCTGGGATGCTTATTAATAATGTTGGCTCCTGGGGGCACCTAGGTGGTGCCCTCAGTTAAGCTTCTGACTCTTGGTTTAGGCTCAGGTTGTGATTTCAGGATCGTGAGATCAAACCCCACATCAGGCTCTGTGCTCAGCGCAGAATCTGCCTAAGACTCTTTCTCCCTTGCCCCTTCCCCTTCTAAAAATAAATAAGTAAATCTCAAAAAAAGAAAACAAAACAAAACAAAAAAAAAGAATGTTGGCTCCTGGACACTACCTAACACTTATCAGAACACAATCCCTGATCATGAAATCCTCAAGTCTGCATTTTAAACAAATGTTCTAGGTGATTTTGACACAGGTGATTAGAGATTCAGACTTTGAGAAACACTGCTATGGGCTCTTCCTCACTAACTAGCACCATATCTGGTACACAACGGGAACTCAGCACTATTTTCTGTTGAATCTGCCTCAAAGAGGTGGAAATTGAGCTGTTTATAGTATTAGGCCAAGTGCCAGGAAAGGGTAATGTCTCTGTAGCCTCCTTATGAAAATAAATAATTCTAATAACTGTAGAATCTTAATGTATCCATGCTGGATGGAATCTCAGAGATTATTTTATGAACCCGCTCATTTTGTCAATGTAAAAATTGAGAATCGGATTCCTTTTATTCATTTACCGAACATTTTTTGAGAGCCTACCATGTGCCAGATTGTGCTGAGTGGTACCTCTGTATGACACCCCTTGGGATGCTTATTCCCAACCCCTGCTATGGCGGAACAGAGTGCTGTGGATGCACTTGGTGGATAAATGAATGAATGAATAAGTGAATAAATGAATGAATGTATGATCAGCTCAAATGAAATTGAAAATGGCAAAAAAACATTTTTAATCAGGTATAGAAAATAGTTGAGACATTACAAGAAACCCTTTCATTTATTTTCTTTGATGCCTTGATTAATGCCACTTTCCTTCTTCCTTTCATGTAATCTCCCCCCACATACATTTTTCATGGTTTTAAGTGCATATCCTACGTTATGATTTGGGCGACAAAGATAATAATTTTACCTCTCTATGATAGTTCTATGTGTAAAGCTTATACTATTTGCCATCTTTCGGTGATATTAACCATAAGGTAACATGCTACCTAGGGCTACAGATAGTCTCCTTGTAGCCCTATACCTCATATCTACTGCTTGCCATTCCTGGGAAAAAACTCTCTCTTTTCCAGGGAAATGGGTGATCCATCCCTCCGAGCTCACTTTTGTGCAGGAGATTGGCAGTGGGCAGTTTGGGTTGGTGCATCTTGGCTACTGGCTCAACAAGGACAAGGTGGCCATCAAAACCATTCAAGAAGGGGCTATGTCTGAAGAGGACTTCATAGAGGAGGCTGAAGTCATGATGTGAGTAGCCAAAATGAGAGTATGCAAAGATGTCTTGGGGAGGATATTTGACGCCATGTCATGCCACCTTGCGGCTCAAATCTCCCAATGGTTTCCAGTGGTATGGAAAATAAAATCAAAATCCTCACCGTGGCCTACAAGGCCTGTCATGGTCTTGCCCTCCCCCCACTACCAGTCTCATCCCCCAGCCACACTGGCCTCCATTCACCGTCACCCATGCCATCTGACTCTTCACCATTCCTCAGGTTGTTTTTGTTTGGGGGAGGGAATGCATTTTTGGGAGACTGAGTTTAGACCATCTCACCCTTGACCTTTTTCCTTCAGGAAACTCTCTCACCCCAAACTGGTCCAGCTGTATGGGGTGTGCCTAGAGCAGGCCCCCATCTGCCTGGTGTTTGAGTTCATGGAGCATGGCTGCCTGTCAGATTACCTGCGCAGCCAGCGGGGTCTCTTTGCTGCAGAAACCCTGCTGGGCATGTGCTTGGACGTGTGCGAGGGCATGGCGTACCTGGAGGAGGCATGTGTCATCCACAGAGACCTGGTAAGAGGATGCAGGGCCAACATCTGTAGGTCTGGGATGAAGGGCTATTTCCCACAGAAATGTGCGCTACCCAGACTGGGAATACACTGATAAATAACAGGTCACAGACCACCTCCCCTCCACTCTCCACTTCTTCCTTCTTCCACCCACTAGGCGATGTCCTAGTAGGACTCAGATCTGGGTTCTAATCCCAACCTGGTTTCTGACTTGTACCCTCTGAGTCTGAGTTTACATTTTTCCAAAATGAGGCTTATAGCCTCTCCTTAACCTCCCTGTGCCTCGGTTTCCTCTTGATAAAGTGACGGAAATGGACAAGCACAGTTTTTTCTCAAATAGTTACCCAAGAATCTGCCACAATCACATTGGGGTGATGCTCAAACCATCCTCAAAATCTCTGGAGGTCAGGGCTCAGGATATCCATTTTAACATACCCCCTTGGGATTTGTAGGTACATTTCAACTGTGAGAAAAGAGTGGGGTCTTTTCTCACTAAGGGCTCTTCCAGTGCAGTTCTGTGATACTAAGTCGGGACTAGGTTACTCTTCCTATTGAGGAACAGTTTTAAGAAAATTAGTAACCTCAAAACATTCTTATTTTAGTCAAATGGGTGACAGTTTCTTCGTATCATCCCTAATGTTAACACTGCCTATTGCATCAGGTTGCATTAGAGCACATCATTGGTTAGACAACACCAGATTTCTCTTCTAATTAGGATCTCAAGAATGAAGCTACAAGACCAAACTTACTCATCCTAATAAAGGATCTTACAACATTTAACTTTTTAGCTCTCTTCTGGGCACTAGTGAAGCTTAATTAACATCTGTAAAGCCCTTGTACAGCAGCACATAGAAACCCAAAAGCCTGAGATTATAGGAGATTCCTTGTATTGATTTTCCACCAACAGTTTTCCTTTCCCTTTTGTTTGCCTGTCCCTACTCCAGGCTGCCAGAAATTGCCTTGTGGGAGAAAACCAAGTCATCAAGGTGTCTGACTTTGGGATGACAAGGTAATATGGATGTGTGGCGCCAGGAATGTCTCAGGAATGGGACACAGGCCCCCAGAACATTCAGACATTCTTTCTCCACTCTCTACCCAGGTTCGTCCTTGATGATCAATACACCAGTTCCACAGGCACCAAGTTCCCAGTGAAGTGGGCATCCCCGGAAGTCTTCTCCTTCAGTCGCTATAGTAGCAAGTCGGATGTGTGGTCATTTGGTGAGTGTCATCCTGGCCCCACACCCACATGATAGAGGACTGCCAGCCACCTGTCTTATTTGTCAAACCTAGGCAACTCTCCCTGCCCAGGACTGGGTGGTGAGGGCATCCCACTGATAGTCTGTGTGTGGTAACTGCTCTGAAAATTTGAAGAGGCCCTCATTATTGCATTTGTTCTTGGAGATTTTTCAAACGGGGATTAAAATGAGGATGGAGACAGATTCAGGTGACAGCTTCTGTAAGATCAAAAGCTGGAGGAGTCAGGAGATTAGAATATGAGTTCCTCAAGAACCAGGAGCATATTTTGTTCAACACTTAACCCTCAATAAATATTTTACTCATTTATTCAGCAACAATTTATTGAGCACCTACTATAAGCCAGGGCTAATCTAGGTGCTTACAATGCAGTGATGCGTAGGATAAGAAAGATTCCTATTCTCTTGGAGGCAAATTTTAGGGGGAGACAGATAACAATCATATAAACAAACTAATAGGTAGGTACATGAGACAAAGTCACATAGTGGTAAGTAAGTGTTATGAATAAAACAAAACAGTAATGGGATAGAAAATGACTGGGATGGAGGTTTTAAATAGCATGGTCTGGGAAGGCCTCTCCAAGGAGGCGACCCTTGAGCATAGATCTGAATGATGAGAGAGTCATCCTCACTTGAAGATCCAGGGAATGGTGTCCCTGACCCAAAAACCAAGCAAGTATAAAAATTTGGTGTGTCCAAAGAAAAGAGGGATACTACTGTCTTAGTGAGAGACAATGAAGTTGGCAGCCCATGATAAGGAATTAGACTTTCTGATAAGCACAAATGGGCATGAATGAAAGGCAGAGTGAATGATGCTGGTGTGGCAGAAAGAAAGCTGGATTTGTCATATCCTCCTAAGCCACAGTTTGTTTGTCCAACATACTGGACAAACTCTTTGATTTGGATTATAAGAAGGGTTATACTTTGGAAAGGAATGAGTTGGAGTTTGATTTTTGCCAAATATATTGACTTAAGAGTGGGAGTCAGGGGAAAGCTAATTAAATCTCTTCAGAGAACTAGTTATGAAGTTTCCCCCAGTATTTTAGAGTAGCCAACTTCCAACAACAGAGTGGTTGGGAGAAGAAGAGGAGAAGTGAGTTGGGGGGCCATCAGGAGGGAGACAAACCATGAGAGACTATGGACTCTGAGAAACAAACTGAGGGTTTTGGAGGGTAGTGGGGTGGGGTGGTTGGGTGAGCCTGGTGGTGGGTATTAAGGAGGGCACATATTGCATGCAGCACTGGGTGTGGTGCATAAACAGTGAATACTGGAACACTGAAAAGAAATAAAATGAAAAAAATATCTCTAGCTCTTCTGAACTGTTCCTTAAAATAGCTTCCCTATTTGACAGACCCAGCTAAGATTTTGTTATTCAAATTTAAGTTAAAGAATGAACTTGGAAGAAATAAAACTGCACCAGAGCAATCTCAGAAGGTTTCAAGTACAGGTCAGAATGGCTAAAATCAGCAAGTCAGGAAACAACAGGTGTTGGAGAAGATGCAGAGAAAAGGGAATGCTCCTACACTGTTGATGGGAGTGCAAGCTGGTGCAGCCACTCTGGAAAACAGTATGGAGTTTCCTCAAAAAGTTGAAAATAGAGCTACCCTATGACCCAGCAACTGCACTACTGTGTATTGACCCTGAAGATACAAATGTAGTGATCCAAAGGGGCACGTGCACCCGAATGTTTATAACGGCAATGTCCACCAATAGCCAAACTATGGAAAGAGCCTAGATGTCCATTAACAGAAGAATGGATAAAAAAGATGTGATATATATATATATATATATATGCAATGGAATATTGTGCAGCCATCAAAAAATGAAATCTTGCCATTTGCAAAGATATGGATGGAACTAGAGGCTATTATGCTAAGCAAAATAAGTCAATCAAAGAAAGATAATCATCATATGATCTCACTGATAATGTGGAATTTAAGAAACAAGACAGAGGATTATATGGAAAAGGGAGGGGGAAATGACACAAGACGAAACCAGAGAGGGAGACAAACCATAAGAGACTCTTAATCTCAGGAAACAAACTGAAGGTTGCTGGAGGGGAGGGGGCGAGAGGGTTCGGGTGGCTGGTTGATGGACCTTGGGGAGGGTATGTGCTATGATGAGTGCTGTGAATTGTGTAGGACTGAGGAATCACAGACCTGTACCCCTGAAACAAATAATACATTACATGTTAAGAAAAAAAGATTTTAAAAAAGAGAGACCAAAGTGGGAGTGGGGGGTAGAAAGGTATGGCTGATGTGTGGCCATCTCTATGGGCGATGTAGCTGGTCACACTACACCAAGCCCAGTGTCCCATGGCCACTTTGTCACATTCACCTGCTTACTCTGCATGAGGCTTACTCTGCCACAGGTTGTCAGCTTGGGAATTTTGTGTTGCATCATATAATTAGAGGGTTGACTTACAGTCCATCACTGCCTAGGATGTGCCCCCTGAAGTGTCCGAAAATGAGACTGACCAATGGAAGCAGGGTAGAGAGGGTGAGGTAACAGCAGTGGCAAGCCTGAGAAACAGAAACCCTGATGATGAAAGCTTGATGCCTGCCTCTAAGACGTTGAGCTTTGTCATGCGTTTTAAGGTTTTTGCCCTAATCAACTGTGCTATTTCAAGCAAGTCAAGTAAGCTCTCTGCACCTTACTCAGTTTCCAATCAATACATTACAAGGTTTGCATGAAAGCAATTGTTTTCAAAAGAGCTTTGAGCAGCAGGCTTCAATTTTCCAAAGAAATCTCACTAGAAATTCTGGCAACTTGGGGAGCTAAGCAGTCTTATTTACAGAAAGATTCCAAATTTCCAAAACTCCAGAGGCACCTCTGAGAATCCCTTAGAAATCCTAGTCTGAGGTGTGGGCCAGGGCCCAGGAGCTGCCATTTGAACAAACTTCTGAGGTGATTTTTATTCAGTTGCTTTGGGGATTATACTTTGGAAAACCCTGCTGTAAGAATCTCTGAAATATGCTTTGAAAACCACTAAAATAGGTGACCGGCAAGCTCTCTTCCCATTCTGACATCCTATACATATATTAGTACATAATAAAATTGGGTGTGACATTTCTGCTAAAAATAGAAGAGGAAAGGGGATTAAATCACAGGTCAAAAATAGACAACACAGAGACATGTTTTGCTCTGTCTACACAGTATTTTTAAAAATCAAATTGAATTTCTATTTCTAAACTCTCAATTTATGAGTTCTTTTTAAAAAATCAGAAAATGTGGCAATCCCAAACCCTCATCCCCATGTGCCCTATGGTGGCTGGAGCTAAATCACAGCTGTTCTCTGAAAACAGAACTAGACCCCCGATTCTCCACAGTCCTCCCTAATCTCCATTACGGCACATCTCATCCACTCCATCCATTTACATGATGTGTAGACATTTGAGTTCATATCCCCTGCAATTTTAGTAGTAGCGTTTGAGTTAGATATATAAAAGGGATGAGCTTGAAATTTCCTCACCCCTAGGAAGACTGGGAAATCTCTGTTCTTAAGAAATAGTCCAGGCTTAAGAAGCCTCAGATGGTTTTGTATTCTCCTTCCTGAAGGTAAGGACTTGAATCTGAATGGCAAGGAATCTGCCTTTCTCGATGTAGCCTTGTTTGTCTGCTAGTTGTGAACTTCATCATTCACTGTGCTGGACTCACCATTTCTTGTAGGTGTGCTGATGTGGGAAGTCTTCAGTGAAGGCAAAATCCCGTATGAAAACCGAAGCAACTCAGAAGTGGTAGAAGACATCACTACTGGATTTCGCTTGTACAAGCCCCGGCTGGCCTCTGCGAATATCTACCAGATCATGAATCATTGCTGGAAAGAGGTCAGTAAAGGAAGTGGTTTCCCCCTACATTGTAATCTACAACTTTAGGGTCTGTCCCCTTCCCTAGAGAAAGAAACCCTCTTAGAGGATGAGGAAGTAGGTATACTGAAGTAGATTAGCAAGAAAGTGGCTTTGAGCTTTACTAACGAAAGAGATTGCCCATCCCTAAAAGTGCTGGCAGCGACCTTAAATATTATTTGATCTGTAATAGAATGTCACAAGCCATCAACACACTGTTAGAGAGGAAGAGAGGGTAAGATACCAGTATAATATCATACAGAAGTTTCACTGCCCTAAAATCCACTGTGTTTCACCTATTTACAATTCCATCATTGTCCCCCAAATCCTGACTGGAACATCACAAAACCATTAAGTGTACGTGAAGGTAGTGCTAGAAGTTGATGAGCAGAAGTTCACTTGCGTTGTTGAAAATATTAAAAAGACTTAATTCAAATTCATTTTATTTGTTTAACAATTCAGAATGAGAAGCCAATTATTCTGCACCCTCCCAGATGTCCCAGTTATCCCATGCTTGGGGGGCAGGCTATATCTTCAGCCACATCAGCCGAAGTCTTGATGTCCTTTGGTGAATTAGAAAATTTTGAAGTTCAACCACAACTGAAAGTTGCTGAATAGGGCGCCTGGGTGGCTCAGTTGGTTAAGCAACTGCCTTCAGCTCAGGTCATGATCCTGGAGTCCCAGGATCCAGTCCACATCGGACTCCCAGCTCCACGGGGAGTCTGCTTCTCTCTCTGACCTTCTCCTGGCTTATGCTCTCTCACACAGTCTCTCTTTCAAATAAAATTTTTTAAAATCTTTAAAAAAAAAAAAAAGAAAAAAAGTTGCTGAATAGAGAATGAACACAAATTCAGATTTTTGAAGGGGAACAAGGTAGAATGGAAAAAAGTATAGGGTACTTGGGCTTTGTCTCTGCTTTAGCATTTCTTAAGCATTCATTTTGGATGATTCTCTGAACCTCCTTTTTCTTACTGATAAGAGAATGAAATAATGATTGCTCTAGAAGCTCATAGAGCCAAGGTACTCAGATACAAGGAAACAATGAAGCCATAAAGAAGGGCACAAAACAAATCCAGTCCACTTCACAAGTCCACATACTATGATAATTAGGAAAGCTGAATTTACTTAACACTTTTTCCTTTTTTAAACTATTTTTTTATTTTTAAGTTAATAGGCTTTATTGTTTAGAACTCTTAGATACACAGAAAAATGACCAAATAGTGCAAAGAGTTCCCATATACCCTCTTTCCCTATTAATAATATTTTACATTAGTGTGGTACTTTATTACAATTAATCAACCACTATGATACATTATTATTAACTAAAGACTATGGTTTACATTAAGGTTCACTCTTTGTGCTGTACAGTTCTGTGAGTTTTGACAAATACATAACATTGTGTATCTACCATTATAGTATCATATGGAATAGTTTTGTTGCCCCACTATTCACTGAGCTTCACCTATTTACGATTCCCTCCTTCTCCCAAAACCCTGACAACTATTGATCTTGTTTTTTTTTTCTTAAGATTTTATTTATTTATTTGACAGAGAAAGGGAGAGATCACAAGTAGGCAGAGCAGCAGGCAGAGAGAGGGAGAAGCAGGCTCCCTGCGGAGCAGAAAGCCGATGTGGGGCTCGATCCCAGAACCCTGAGATCATGACCCGAGCTGAAGGAGAGGTTTTAACCCACTGAGCCACCCAGGCGTCCCACAACTATTGATCTTCTTGGTGTTCAAGTTTTCCCTTTCTTAGAGTGTCATATCTTTATAATCTTATGGTATGTAGCGTTTTCAGATTGGCTTCTTTCATTTAGCACTACACATTTAATTATGCATTTAAGATTCATCCATGTCCTTTCATGGCTCCATAGCTCATTTCTTTTTATCACTGAATAATATTCCATTGTATGGCTGTACCACAGTTTGGCTATCCCTTCACCTACTGAAGGACATCTTGATCACTTGCAGTTTATGGCAATTGTGAATAAAGCTCCTATAAATATCAGTGTGCAGGTTTTTGTATGAACATAAATTCTCAGCTTGACTAGGAGTGTGATTACTGGATCATATGATTAACACTACATTAGCTTTGTGAGAAACTGCCAGGCTCTCTTCTGAAGATGGCTGTACCATTCTGCATTCCCACCAGCAATGAGAATTCCTGTTGCTCCATATCCTCATGAGCATTTAATGTTATCAAGTGTTTTGTATTTTAACCATTCTAATAGTATATAGTGTAGCTTATTGTTTTCATTTGCAGTTCCCTAATGACATATGATATGGAGCATCTTTTCATATGTTTATTTGCCATTTGTATATCTTCTTTAATGAGGTGTCTGTTGAGATCTTTTGCCCATTTTTTAATTGGACTATTTGTTTTCTTGCTTTTGAGTTTGAATAGGTCTTCGTATATTTTGGATATAAGTCCTTTATCAGATATGTGTTTTGAAAATATTTTCTCCCAGCCTGTGGTTTGTCTTTTCTTTCTCTTAGTGTCTTGTACAGAAGAGACATTTTTGATTTTACAAAGTTCAACATCAATTTTTTCTTTTATGAATCATGCTTTTGGTGTTGTATCAAAAAACCTATTACTGAACCCACGGTCACCCAGATTTCCTCCTATGTTATCCTCTAGAGTTTTCTAAATTTTGCATTTTACATTAAGGTCTCTGGTCCGTTTTGAATTAGTTTTTGTGAGAGGTATACAGTCTGTGTCTAGAGTCATTATACTGCACGTGAATGTCCAATGGTTCCAGCACTGTTGGTGAAAAGACTACCCTTTCTCCATTGAATGGAGCCTTTGCTCTGTTTTCAAAGATCAGTTGACTGTGAGTCTATTTCCGGGCTCTCCACTCTGTCTTAGAGATGTTTGTTAATTCTTTCACCAATACCACATTCTCCTCATTATTGTAGCTTTATAGTGAGTCTTGAAGTTGGGTAGTGTCAGTCCTCCAACTTTGTTCTTCTTCCTCAATACTGTGTTGGCTATTCTGAGTCTTTTCCCTTTCCATGTAAATTTCAGAGTCAGTTTGTCAATATCTAAAAAATAACTTCTTGGGATTCTGATTGTGATTATGTTGAATCTATAGATCAAGTTGAGAAGAAATGACATTTTAATAATATAAAGTCTTCCCATCTTTGAATATGAAATGTCTCCATTTATTTAGATCTTTGATTTCTTTCTTTAAAATTATATATTTTTCCTCATAAAGGTCCTATACGTATTTTGTGAGATTTATACCTAAGGATTTTCTTTTTTGATGTTATTTATCACTTATTTTATGATGAATTTTTAATACATGATTTCATTTAATTCTCACAACCATCTTGTGAGATAGATACTACTATTATCCCCATTTTACAGACAACAAAACTGAGGTTCAAACAAGTTAAGTCACCTGCTCAAAGTCACACCGCTAATGAATGGAAAAGCTTAGTTAGATTCAAAATCAGTCCATCTGATTCCAGAATCCTTGCTGTTAACAACTGAGACACTATGGCCTTCAACAGTACATATGGAAGCGTATTTAACAGTCAGCAGAGGGCTACTGAATTCTGGGTTGCTTTGGAATTAACTGTAGCACACAAGTACAAGGAACTCACAGAGTCCTTCTCTTCCCTCTCTAGAAACCAGAAGACCGGCCACCTTTCTGCAGACTCTTGAGTCAACTGGCTGAAATTGCAGAATCGGGACTTTAGCAGAGACTCAGCACCAGGCCCCGGGCTGCAGATCCTCACAGGGGGAAGCCAGTTCTCCCTTCACAGAGCATTAAAATCTGCCACCAGCCCAGCATTCCCCAGAGTCAACTGGCCTGTGGCGCCAGTCCCTGAGCCTCACGGCACAGGCAGCACCCTGACGGAGGCAGGAGGCTCTGGCCCCGGAACTGGGAGGGAGGCCCGAGCAGCAGCGATGTCTCTCCCTTGCTTCCAGCCTCTTATCGAGTGTGGTCCTCAAACCTCAACCTGACAGCTTTCAGGCACCATTTCTTGCACTTCTTGGAGAAGAGGAGGGACATGGTAGAGCTATGGATTATTATTACTATTATTATTTCAAACATGGATCTGAAGGGTATGGTCGAGGGTTTTTACTTGACCTGGCAACACAGAATCCCAGGATGGTGGGGCAAGAGAAATGAGGAGTGTGACTCTTTTTCAAGGAGACCTGGTGAGTTAATTAAGGTCAGGAAGTGCCAGCTCAGCTGCTGTGATCCTGTCAGCTGCAGCTTCTTGCCGTCCTAAGGAACAACTGCTCCCATCTGAGGCCAGTTAGGCTGAGAAGCAGTTTTAGGAGGTTTTATTGATTGAACATACTGCCACCTCCCTCCTTGAAGGGACATGATGGACTGGGGTGAACAGATCCAACCACGTGATTAGAGATGGCATCGGGACAGAAAGAGCACTTCAGATGGTGGGGAACCGGCCGGTACAGAGATGGACCTTAGGTTGTTACCACTTAGGTTGTTGTGCTGTTATGCCCACCTTTAGTACCAAGCCAGGCAGGGGACTGTGCCTCGCCTCTGCACAGAACGCTTCCACGGGCATCCTGGGAGAAGATGCTTGCTTCGCACCGCTGGATCTGACTGAGAACTCCGCCGTCAGTTTGTCTGGCCTCTGGGGTTAGTCCTGTCTCTGCACTCTTCCAACCCTCATCAGCAGAGGGCAGCAGGGGGGCGGGCGGTGGCCTCGCAGAGACCTGGAAGTTTCTTTAGGCCTGAGAGGTTTGCATCTTGAAGGTTGAAGCTTCAAGTCTCCTGAAAGTCTAGGAGAGGAACGAGAGGTCTGTTCTCACTCAAACCATCTGGATGGAAAGTGAGTCAAGCACTGAGCGGGGTGCTTCCAAGAGGCACAAGACAGCCCACTGTTGATGGAGCACTGAAATATGCCAAGTGAATAAGTACTGAGCTACAGGCCTTATCTGCACAATTTCATTTCGTCCTGCGTTCCCACCAACCCCATGAGAATGTATTCTTATTCCCATTTTACAGATGATGGAACTGAGGCTTTAAAAAGCCAAGAGAGCTTGCCAGAATGACAGAGCCAGGAGATTTAGAGCCCACATCTGTCTGCTGCCAATGCCCTTTCTTTGTTTCTGTTCAATGCTGCCTTCTACTGAGGATGAAAGGGATTGCAGAGGAGTTAAATAAGCTGGGGGGCAAGACAGAGAAAGCCAATAAAGAAGTCAACCACCAAAGGGTGTTTCTCCCTCAGAGGCCAATATGGTTGGCCATGTAGCCCTCCAACTTGGAATAGGATCTTCTTGTTCTCATCTGTCTTCTCATCTTTGTTAGAGTTAATGACTTTGGAGTCACTCCATTAATTAACCCTTTGACTCACCCACCCCTCCAGAGTCATGTTGCATGAAGCCATTTCTAGGTGAGCTTCAAAGCAGTTTTGAACGGTCCGCCTGCAGGTATATAAATGCTTCCTTTAATTATCATTTCGACTTCGAGCCAGCTGCAGTGCTCTTCCACACTTTGTGGGGAAGGGTATTCCCTGATGTAAGAGAGATTTCATTTTCCTGCAGCGTTCAGATAAAACTTTCAGAGAGATTATTAGATGGTGTTGCAATTAGCTCTTTCTATACTGTGTGATATTTTGACCAGCTGGAGATTCAGATGCATAACTTGTAACTATAATTATTGTGAAACTGGTTGCCTCCAGATAAAACTCTATCATTCAGAAGATGATCTTACTCAACATATCCAAAATCATCCCTGTTTACTTTCTGGCATTTTGTACATTCTCTTGTGAAACCCTTAATTAGAGGTCATTTCCGGAACATCCAGCCTGAAGGAAAACATCAAAATTGACTGATTTCTCTGGTCTGGTTTCAGAAATTGCCCCTCGTATGGTGTTATCGTGTTCAAGCTCAGAGTCACTGGGGCCTTAACTGACTATGTTAACTCCCCAGTGTCCTATCTTGCAAAATGGGCTTCCGGCCTGATTTTTTGCTACCCCTCTCACAGTTTGAAAATGGTACCATGCATTCACAGGGAATTCCCTTATCCAAGGTTTTGGTTCCAGGTGCATTTTTAGATTTTGCATTTTGTACCTCTTAAGGCTATTTCTATTTGGATGTATTGAATATTTATTAGTGTACAGTGATTGCTAGGATTCACAATGAAAATGTTATAAATATCTCTAACCGTTTATAAATCACACATAGTTAAAGGTTGGTTCTAGCAAATAGAACTGTATGTTTTAATAAATACAATATATATGGCCTGGGTTCAGTATTTGCCCAAATGTCAGACAACCAAAAATTTCCCTTAAATAAAAATGATTACGTGGCTTCATGTTCCACAAAAGAAAAAAAAAAATGGACTACATATCATTCAACATTTGTTCAACAAGTAAACATCAAATGCTTCCTGTGTTCCTATGATACACTCTGCTGAGAGCTATGGAAACAAAGATGAAAAAAGCAGTCTAATTTACTTTTTAGAAACCCCAGGTAACTCATTTAAAAAAAAAAAAGCAATAAAATTATAATCCATCATTTAGGGAAAGAACAGAAATTAGTCAAAGGGGAGAAGAGCTCAGAAAAAGTGATGGAATCTCTCAGGGGAAGGGGGACATCAGGAAAAACTTTACAAAACCTTGCTACTCAAAGTGTGGTCCCAAGACCATCAATAGCAATATGACCAGCTTATGAGAAATCTGAATTCTCTGACTCTACCCTGAGATTCCCTGAATGGGAATCTGTGTTTTCACAAGATCCACAGGTGACCATAAGCACATTAAAGTTTGAGAAGTACCATCATAGAGGATATAATGTCTGACTCAGTTCTGAAGATGAATTATGGGGTTTTTTTAGGAAGTAAGTGGGCAGAAATAAGAGAAATACTTTCCAGGTAGGGCTAGAGGAAATTGAACGTGTGCGGAAGCTATTATCAGTTTATCTCACTGGAGCGTAAGTTATGGGGGTGGGCGTGAGGTGTTGGCAAAGGTAAGGATGATGGAAGGAGTTAGGCAAATTGAAACAGAAGCTATAAGTCTAGGTAAAGACCATATTTTGAAAGACAAGAAATGTGGGAACTCTACCGATAGATAGGAAAGATGTCACGGAGCAAGGAGAGAAGGTCAAATCTGTGTTTAAAAGCTCATTCGGGCAGCAGCACAGTCAGTGGATTTGAGAGAGCAACGCTGATGGAAAAGAAGCCAATGTGAAGATGATTTTTTGCCTTGTTCCTAGTACCAGAGTATGGTTCATACTCATTCACTGTCATCTGCTGTGTGGGTGACACGTGGAATTTGTAATTCAGAGTTCTTCAGTCACAGCTGGGCAGCAAAAAGTACCTGTACCTGCCTCTTAAAATCCCAGTGAAATAAAGGCCGGCTTGTATTTTCGGTCTGCTGAGCTCTCCCTGTACCTTCTAGTTTGCCAAATGTCGACGTCCACGGCAGGAGCCGATTCATGCACCAGAGGACCGTTTGGCACGAGGAAAAATGCCTGTGGTTTCTACACAGTCTTTGGTGGTACTCCCCTTTGGGATTGCCTCCCACTGGGAAATGACCCGGATATGAAACTCCTAAAGCAGTTGGATGAGCAGCTCTGCTTCTCAGAGCATTTATCTGGCAGACCCAACTTTCTCTGGAATCTCCCAACACACATGTCCACCACTCTGAGGAAGAGATGGAACATAATCCATTCAGCAAGATGGGCCGTGTATATTTGTGTATTTCTGCGTGTGTGTGTGTGTGTGTGTGTCTTCAATGACTTTGAGACTCTCTGCAAGTCATGATGTGTAGTTGTCTTGTGGGATCACAGAGTAACTGTTAGAAGGAGTTTTAGAGATCATTTAGAGATCATTTCTTTACTTCATAAATAATAGTTACCGATTCACCTGACATTGCCTGGTACTGTCAGGTGTATAAGATGAATAGGATATCTTATCAGTTAGGCACCAAACACTTCACACTCAAATTAAGATACATCAAGGAGGACTTATTTATGAAAGGGAAAGGATTATTTAAAAAAGAGTGTGGGTCAGGTTTAGAGAGAGACCCACAGAAAGTAGTACAGAGGAAAAGAAGCCAAGGAGCAGTTGCCACCTGGAGGCCTGAAGAGACAAGAGGAGGAAGTGCTCATTTGAATGTGAAAGCAGACAGTCCCCTGAAGGAGGTTGCCTTGAGAGGAAAAGACCTTTAGTTAGGAAGGCAATGTCCGTCACAAAGAGGAGCCCAGGGGAATAAATACACTGACCCTTTCATCAACTGATCTATACATAATCTTACACACTCTCCTCTCTTACCCCATCAACTGCTGGTACTTCTTGTTGGTTACCTAGTATGGACACCAGCCTTCCCATAAGAAGTCCTCATGCAACACGGGGGGTTAAGGGGGTAGGAGAAGAGTAAATGAAACAAGATGGGATTGGGAGGGAGACAAACCATAAGTGACTCTTAATCTCACAAAACAAACTGAGGGTTGATGGGGGGAGGGGGGTTGGGGGAGGGGGAGTAGGGTTATGGACATTGGGGAGGGTATGTGCTATGGTGAGTGCTGTGAAGTGTGTAAACCTGGCGATTCACAGACCTGTACCCCTGGGGATAAAAATATATTATATGTTTATAAAAAATAAAATTAAAAAAAAAAGAAGTCCTCATGCTACTAAAAGAAAGTCCAACACATAAACAAATACAGCTGATGCCCGTTATTTACAGCTTCTATACGTGCAGATTGCCTGCTCGCTGACATTTATTTGTAACTCCCAAATCAGTCCTTTCATAGTCATCCATGGCATGCCCATGCCGGCGCCATGAAAACCGTGAGCTGCCCTGCACGCACATCCCCAGCTAAGGGGGAGCAAGGAGCTGCTCTGCCTTCTCGTTTCAGCTCTCATTCTGTAAACAAGTATCCTTTT